CCAGCTCCAGGGGAATCTAACACCTCTGGCCTCTGTGGATACTGGCACTCATGTACCTATATCTACACATATGCACATAATTAAAATTAATAAAAATTTTGTTTATAAGACAAATATTTAATGAAAATTGGTCAGTGGGTATGTATAATCCATGCTGCTCAATAGTTACATAAAACTATCAGAAATGTAAACCAGCGTAGATGGAAGAAGATGTTACATATTGTCATCATCTGATTCATCTTACTTCAAGGATTCCTTAGCATATTTGTCTGCTTCTTTCCTTGTATCTTTTGGAACAATCTCATGTCTTCCTTTAGTCAATACACCAACCCAGCTGAGCTGTAGTTCAAAAGCTTTAGTTTAACTTTATCATGTACTATGTAAATTATTTTTGCAACTTCTTTAACTACATCACGGCAGGTCATCTCTTTCATATATGAAACACCTGATGGATCAATCATATAGGGTTGAGCACCGTAATTTATACTGTACAACCCTAACATAAAACTGCAGCCGAAAGGTCTAACAGTACTGTAGACTGTATAAGCATGTATGTACATGGCCACTTTGCAAGATGTTTTAGTGGAAGGTTATAGCCAAAGTTAGACCTAAAGTTGGAAGCGTCTTCTCTTGCTATGTCTGCTAGTGAATGCGCATCTGTCAATAAACCTGCTACTGCCTACTATTTTCCACTGCCTTCATGGCATATTCAACTTGAAAAACTCTTCCATCAGGAGAAAAGTAGAGGCTGACCCGGTGCCAATGGGGCTCATGGTGCTGAACCACCCAGCCGCCCGGGATTTGCAGGCCTCAAGTCAACAAAAATATTTTTTAAAATATGCTGGTTATAGTGGTGTATGCCTTTAATCCCAACACTCTGGAAGAAACAGGTAATCTGAATTGCTCTGTATCTGTAAAAGGAGTTGAGCTTGTATCTAAACATTCTCATGAAGAAAGCTGCAGACTTTCAGTAGGCCTGACAACCTGAGTTTTATCCCCGGAACCTATGCTGTGGAAGAAGAGAACTGACTTCCAAAGTTGTCCTCTGACCTCCACATGTGCAATGTGGTACTCATGCACCCACAAACATACAAAAATAAATAAATGTAAAAGAAAATAAGAAAGTTCCAGGCTTAAACAGCTTCATTCATATAGCCTATCAAATACTATGGACAAAATATTAATTCTCCACAAACTTAGAAAGCAGAAAAGGAGAGAGCAACCTCATTCATTTTACAAGGTCAGCATCAGACTTACCCAACACCAAAGAGAAATCTATAGGTCATTATCTCTTAGTACCACATGTGTAAGAAGCTAAGTGAAATTTTAGCAAACAAAATCTAGCAATGTATAAAAAGATGACACGTATGGCTGAGTAGTTTCCTTCCAAGAATACAAGATTGCTTCAATGTTTGAAAGTCAGTCAATGTAATTAACCATATTAGCAGAACAAAAACGAAAAGAAACTCCACATGATCTTCCAGATACACAAAAAAAATTGACAAGGGCTAAAGGGACGGCTCAGTTGGTATAGTGCTTTCTTTGCAGCACAAGCACCTGAATCATATTTACAAAATCTGTGTTTTAAAACAAGCTGGGATGGTGCCTGGCATGGTGGCGCATGCCTTTGATCCCAGCACTTGGGAGGTAGACGCAGGCAGATCTCTATGAATTCCAGGCCCAGCCTGGTCTACAGAGTGAGTTCAAGGCTAGCTGGGGCTACAGGGAAACCCTGTCTCAAAAAGACAAAAAAAGAAAAAAGAAAAAAAAGAGGTGGGATGGCTGGGTGTGGTGTGGTGCACTCCTTTAATCCTAGCAGTCAGGAGGCAGAGCCAGGAGGATCTCTGTGAGTTCAAGGCCAGCCTGCTCTACATAGTGAGTTTCAGGCTACAGAGAGACCCTGTCTCAAAAAGAAAAAAAAATGTGGGGAGGATAGCTATAATCTAGTGCTGAGAAGGCAGAAACAGGTGGAGTCTTAAGGCTCACTGGCCAACCAGTCTAGGCTAATCGGTGAACCTGTGACAAAGTGAATGGCATTTATGAGAATGACATCTGAGGTTGTCCCCTGGCCTACACACACACACACACACACACACACACACACACACTTATCCCTACACACATGAACACATACACACATAAGCATTAAAAAGTATCAATTGCATCTAGGAAAGGTGGCAATAGTCTGTAATCCCGGTACTCGAGAGACTGAGGTAAGAAGATTGCTGTGAGTTTAAGGTCAGCTTGAGCTAGTATGAGACCTTGTCTCAAAAAACCAAAACCAGGCTGGATGTGGTGGTGCACACTTTTAATTCAGAGTTCAAGAGGCAGAGACAGGTGGATATCTGTGAGAGTGAGGCTAGCTTGGTCTACATAGGAAGTTCCACTCCAGTTAGGGCTGCACAGAAACCCTGTCTCAAAAAACAAAGAAAAACAAAACCCAAAACCAGGTCTGGTGAGATGGTTCAGAGTGTAAAGGTGCTTGCCAACAAGCCTGACAACCTGATTTTGAACCCCAGAACCCTCATGGTGGAAAGAGAGACCCAAGCCTTAGACGTTTTCCTCTGACCTCCACATGTACACCATGGCATATGCATGTGCACCCACACAAATAAATTTAAAAAAACATAAAAATAAAATAAAAACCAAAAGTCAAGTATGTTGGCTCACATCTGAAAATCCTATACTTTGAGAGGTACAGGCAGGAGAATTATAAGTTCCTTGCCAGCCTGGGCTACATGAGATCTTTCTACCTTCCCAAAAAATGCCCCCCAAAACAGAACCCCCCCAAACAAAAAGACAATAGATGAAAAGGTGTCCAATATCATAGGTTACAAGAAAAATACAAATTCAAACCCCACTAAAATGATTCAAATTGGAGATACCCCCAAAAAGGTGGACATTGTAGCTCATACCTATATGAGCATGTGGAAGCCAGAGGCAGGAAGATTGCAAATTAGAGGCCAACCTGGTGTTCCAGGGGATGTGATGTCCTGTTCTAACCTCTGTGGGCATTGCACAACACAGGTGAACTTACATACAGGCAGGCAAAACACTCATACACATAAAAAATAAATAAAATTTAAAAATGTAAGCAAGAGGGAGGAGAAAATAATCCCAGCACTTGGGAGGCAGAGACAGGAGGATTGTACAAGTTTGAAGGCTGCCTAGTTTACATAGGGATCTCTAGGCTAGCCAGGAGACCCTGTCTCAAAACAATAACATCCAAAGGACCCTAAAAACATGGTAAATAAGCATGTGGAATATATATGTGAGTGATGGCATGGTATATGGGTGTGCAATGTACATTGGATGATATGTAGTCTATGCAGCATGTAGACATCTGAACTGCACAGCATGTGTGCACAGGTATGGGGGTAGGGTATGCAAGGCACCTACCTCTATATCTCCCCTACCCCAATGGGGCTGGGGGAGGGGCTGGAGCCCACCATGCTTTCAGGGCAGGAAGAGGAGGCCTTGGCTGTTGGCAAGGTCCCTCAGCCTGGACCTGGTCCATACTAGTGTTGTTTTGGTTGCTAGCCTTGCAGGTCAAGGGGAGAAGACAGACAGGAAAAAAAGGAGCCTGGCCCCAGGTGAGTGAGCAGGCTGCAGGCTGGTGCTGGACCAAGGTGACCCAAAGGGAGAGGGAGCCATGGAAGAAGGGGGAGATGGCAGGAGTGGGGTATAGAGGGGCAGGAGGGCCCTGAACATCTAGGCTCCTAAGCTCTTCTCTTAGGTTTCTCTACATGGGATCTTGCTGTATGTACACAAATGTGTGTTTAAGTCTCTGTGTCATATGAGACTTGTGGGAGAGAGAGGGGATTGTACAGAACAAGGCCCTGGAGGTCAGGCCAGAAGCCCCTCCTCCTGGGGCAGGCAGGTAGTTGCAGGTGGGGAGGAAGAAGAGGGCGGGAGTGCTCCTCCTAGCTCCCCAGGGAGGAAGTGGGGATGTACAGGGTCACATTAGGCCCAGTCTCAGCCCCCACCACATCCCCTCCCTTCCAGTCCCTCATGTCTGGCCACGCCTTAATTGAGAAGGTGGGGCCTGCTAGGGCTGGAAGGGCTCCTGCTCTGTGTAATGAGAACTCCCCAGGCTTTTACCCCTTTCTCGCTTGGGAACAAAGGAAAGAAGGCATCTGCTTTCAGAAGGGGGATTTAAGAACTTGTCATGAAAAAGTTGTGATCCTGGATCAGCTCTAGCTCTCTCTGGCCTCAGTTTCCCCTCTTAGAAGATGAGGTGCTGTACTTAATAGTTTCCCACAGTGCGCCCAGATCAGCCAATACTAGAGTGGAGTGGGGGAAGTCAGGATGGAAGTTCCTGCGGAGCCCTGAGCAAGGCTGGGAACTGGCTGACTGTGCCTTGGGGCCTCAGGCTGGTGAGGAGGAGAGTCCTGGGGAGAGATCTGGGACGCCTGGGTCAGGAAGGGAAATTGGAGGCCAGGAACTTACTTCCTGGTGGATGGAGGAGGGAAGCCAGGGGAGGTGCATGGGGGAGGCGAAAGGGGAGGAAGTCTCCCCCTGTGCAGGTCACTCCCTGAGGCTGGGGCGGGGCGGACGATGGAGAGCAGATCTGAGTGCTGGGCCACCTTCACGCTGCCGCCCAGCTACCCAGAAAACGGGGAGTTTAGCCAGGTAAGGGGCTCTGAGAAACACACCTGGTCCCTTCTGCCCAGTTCCTAGCCTGCAGATGGTGTTCTGTCTAAGCCGCTGTTGGGGCTAGGAGATTTTAGTGTTTGCCTCTGATTTCCCATTCCCATTCCTGATTGACTGGGCTCCCTGGTTGGATCCCAGGCTTTCTGTGCTATCTGATTAGCTACCTCTAATATTCCCTGCCAAGGGCTGGGCACAGGCTGGACCCCTCTCTTATGTGCACCTGCTGCCTGGCACCTCTCTTTCTAAGGGCTCCTGTGCAGTGACCCTGGACAGCGGGGCTGGCCCCTTGAGTGGAGGCTGAGTTGGCCCCTGTGACAGGAGGGCAGGTCACTTGCACCAGTCCCACCATGCTCCTGGCATCCACCATATCCGGTAAGGCCCTGGGCTCCTGCCACCCCTGATGGGATGAGCCCTGTAGGCTGGGTGGGTTTGATGAAGCCAAGAAACACCTCTTTTTAAAGACCTTTGTCGCACTCTTGGGGAGTGGTTGGGAGCAGGTGTTACCTGCTTCCCAAACCACATGTGTGGAGTTCCTGGCAGATGATGTTTCCCTAAGAGTCCCCTCTGCTGGTAGCCAGGAGGTGGGCAGTGAGGCAAGCAAGAGGCTCAAGGTGCCAGCTGCACAGGGCACTAGCCCTGACATTGGAACCTCCTAAGGCCAGAGACGCAGCATAGCACCCCACTAACTTGGCCTTCATGCCTCATCCTTGCCCAGCTGTGCCTGGGCCCCTCTCTCCCCCTAGCTCTTCCAGCAACAGCAGCCAGAAGGAGCCACTGGATGACCGGGACCCACTGCTAGTCCGGGCGGAACTGGCCCTGCTTTCTACTGTCTTTGTGGCCGTGGCCTTGAGCAACGGCCTGGTGCTGGGGGCCTTAGTGCGGCGGGGCCGGCGGGGCAGATGGGCACCCATGCATGTCTTCATCAGTCATTTGTGTCTAGCTGACCTGGCTGTGGCTCTGTTTCAAGTGCTGCCCCAGCTGGCCTGGGATGCCACCGACCGTTTCCGTGGGCCTGATGCCCTGTGTCGGGCTGTCAAGTACCTGCAGATGGTGGGCATGTATGCCTCCTCCTACATGATTCTGGCCATGACGCTAGACCGCCACCGCGCCATCTGCCGCCCCATGCTGGCATACCGCCATGGAGGTGGGGCTCGCTGGAACCGGCCAGTTCTGGTGGCCTGGGCCTTTTCACTCCTTCTCAGCCTGCCTCAGCTTTTCATCTTTGCTCAACGAGATGTGGGAGATGGCAGTGGGGTGTTTGACTGTTGGGCCCGATTTGCAGAGCCCTGGGGCCTTCGTGCCTATGTCACCTGGATCGCTCTGATGGTGTTTGTGGCACCTGCCCTGGGCATTGCTGCCTGCCAGGTTCTTATCTTCCGAGAGATTCATGCCAGTCTGGTGCCAGGTCCATCTGAGAGGGCAAGGGGGCGCCGCAGAGGGCACCGAACAGGCAGTCCCAGCGAGGGAGCCCATGTATCAGCAGCCATGGCCAAGACTGTGAGGATGACGCTGGTGATTGTGATTGTCTACGTGCTGTGCTGGGCACCCTTCTTCCTTGTGCAGCTGTGGGCAGCGTGGGACCCAGAGGCGCCTCTGGAAAGTGGGTGTGGGTGTGGCTAGGGCTGTGGGGGAGGTAAGGGCTTGCCATACACATCCAAGTTCTCTATTCTCTACCCCAGTAGTGGGTTCATATGTGGTGCCCCCATGGCTTGCTAGCCCAAGCAAGGACACCCTGAATTCCAGCCTAAACTCCCCCTCCCTTCACAGGGCCCCCGTTCGTGTTGCTTATGCTGCTGGCCAGCCTTAACAGTTGTACCAACCCCTGGATCTACGCTTCCTTCAGCAGCAGTGTCTCCTCAGAGCTTCGAAGCCTGCTCTGCTGTGCTCGCAGGAGCACCATACCCAGTCTGAGCCCCCAAGATGAGTCCTGTGCCACAGCCAGCTCTTCTCTGACTAAGGATACAACCTCCTGAGCAGCCAGTGGGCTTGGGCTCTTTTCATGCAAAGGCTCCGTGTACCTCACCTGACTGACTGGGGTTGGCCCAGAGAGCCACCAAGAAAGGGGCCCTTGGACAAGCCTTGGTCCTCCCTAGGCATTACTATCCTCAGGTATATGAGAAGGAATGTTTCAAGACTGTAAGAAGACTCTTGGGTCAGTTCCTTTGTGTCAGGCATGGGAACAACTGGGGCAGAAGCCTCAGGGCCTGGGAGGGGGCAGGTGACAGAGGTGCTTGTGGTTCTTGCCCTCTCTCCCTAATAAAAGTTGCGGTTTATTTTCCACATGGAGAAGGGTCTCCTTGGACCAGGGTAATGATGGGTGTGGAAGCTGGAATATAAACATATAAAGACTCACGCACCCATAGGCACTCGGTAAGGAACCTGTGATGTAAGCAACCAACACTGCACTTTTGGGGGTAGGTCTCCAAGTAACATAGGACAACCCCCAATGGACAGCTCCATGTCAGAGGACCCCCAACAGAAGTGTTCAAGCTGTTCAGGCTGCTGTCTTGGCATCTGGCTTCTAGTAGTGCAATGGGTGCAGGGCGCTGCTCTGTACCCCACCTGCTCATTCGCTCCAAAACAGGGCAGGCTGGTATCTGGCAATCAGTGCATAGGTCTTTATGAATTGTTGCCAGGCCCACCCTCCATAGCCACAGCTCAAGCTCTCCCAGCAAAGCTGTAAAGGGTCTGGTTCCCAGCCTCCCTCCTTTGCTGCTTCCCAAAGGGGCCTAAGCTAGGGCTGAGGAGAGGCAAAGGGTCCAGGAAGAATGGTGGATTCGCTGGTGTCTGCTGGGGGGTGAGCTGCCTCAGTGTGGCTTGAAAGCTGAGTCTGGACTCTGAGGATGGGAGGCAGAGGGGGAAGCTGTGGCCCCAGGTCCCCGGGAGAAGACTTTGTTTTTGCTGAAGAGGCTGCAGGCCAGAGGCTTCTGGCTTCGGGTGCTTGGACTGGGGGAGGCTGTAGCTGCTGGCCCAAGGCCCTGGCGGACAGCAGCCTTTCCCAAGAGCTCCTTAAACACGGAGTCCATGTTCTGCGACACAGTCTGGTAAAGAGGGAAAACATAGAGGGTCCAAGTGACAGCTTCTTCCACTCCTCAAATGGAGGCCTTGGCCTAGCACCCTGTGGTCAGGCCAGGCCCTTTCCCCAGAGGCCTCCAGGCCACCTCCCCCACTCAGTTCCAGCTCCCTTCCTTCTGTCACTTTCAGTGTTACTTTTGGGACAGTAACTCCTTGGACTAGTTCTGAAGTAGGAGCCCCTCTGACTGGACCCTAGGCCCCATCTCTTCTTACCCCTACTTTCTCTCTGGCTGATATCACAGCTTCTACCCAGGGCCTTTGGGGCTGTCAACATGCTGGGGACTCCCAGGTCAATGTCCTTCCCTGCAATCTTCCTGCTGCCAGGCTCCAACTCCTGTGTCTACCAGCCTATCTTAGGCCTAGGAGCTGGCCCACTCTTCCTAAGGCTCAGCCACTGTCCCCCAGGGCCTCCCTGCTCAGCCCATTGGGGCTCACAGGACCCACTTCCTAGAGAGGAGCTCCCCAGGTTGTATCACTCCCTAGAGCCTTGTCCTAGGCCCAATTTGTTTCCTCAGCCAACCGCCCCTCCTGCTTCCCTGCCATCTGTCCTTTCATTCTCCCTGGCGTGCTAAAGCACCTGCCATGTCAATGCCTGTCACCTAGCGTAGCTCTAGGTGCCAGCCTTGAAGTCTGTCCCAGAGCCCCTCACCCACACCAGCCTAAACAGCCTGCCTTCTCCCTTATTCAAGAATGTTGTGAGGCCCACACCCCAGTAGGGCTCCTCCCAACTGTTCTGACCACATGCCCCTCCCTAGGCTGTGACTTGGGCTTGCTTGTTTGGCATCAGGTACCCCTGAATTAAGGCCAAGGGGAGCAGCAATGAGCCTCACCTTGGGGAGGGCAGAGCCAGGTTCATAAGAGAGGCAGAGACCATGCAGGAGAGGCGCCCCCTGCTGGCCCCATAGCCAGTCCAAACTCTCACCTTATCCATCTCTGCATGTCTCTCAGGGGAGGTGGGAACCAAACAGTGTCGTCTGGGCCCAGAAGGGCCCACAGCCTCAGGTGGGGTACCTGGCTCTGGCCTGCAAGGCACAGATAGAAAACCTGGCAGTGGTCCTAGGAAATCCCTGACCTGAGCTGGCAGTGGCCATCCCAGGTATGGTAAAGGAAAGAGGTGCACCTCTGTAGTCCTCAAGGTCCTGTAGGCTCTCTCCAGATCATACCCAGGCTGAATCTATTCTGTCTACCCTTAGTGTCCTTTATTCAACAATTCCCCTAGTCCCATGTAGCCAAAGCGTGAGCCCATACCCTCTAAGCCTAGCATAGTGGGGGCAGCCTCTGGCCAGTGTCTGCTACTTTTAATAGCAATGTGGGGCAAGTGGACCCTCTGAGGGGTCTTCCCAAGGACCTGTCTTCCGGCTCACCAATGGGCGAACTCCAAGGTCAGGGGGCCCTCTGGACGGCTCACAGACTCCCCTGTGGCCTGCAGCCCTAGGTCAGCCGCCTGCTTCTCATCCCTGGGTAAGGAAAAGACTGGCTTGTTTCGGACACTCCTCCCTGGCTGAGGCCTAGAGGCCAGTGGCCTCAGCCTTAGCCCCAGCCCCAGTAGTTGGAAATGATTGTTCTTGGGTCCAACACTATAGACTGGCTTGAGTTGGAAGAAGTCCTGTTTGAGCATGTCAAGTGACAGAGGTTGCATCCAGAAAGAGGAAGACATGGAGACTATGCTCAGTATGGGCTAAAGGGAAGCCATAACCATCAGAGCCTGGGAGGGTCAAGGCTAACACCTTGGACAACCTCCCCAGGGCTTCAACTCACTTACCCCTCAGGCAGTGTGATGTACTTGTGTGGAATGAGTCCCCGAACACCAGCATGCTCCCCTCGCCACCAGTCACTTGATGCCCGAGCATGTAGCCGCAGCACATCCCCTCGCTGGAATGTCAGCTCCTGGGCTGTGCGGCCTGTGTAGGCAAAGCAGGCTACGGCCTCCAATATTCCCTCCAGGTCTGCAGGGAAGAGAGAGCCTGACTGAGAGGGAAGTGGGTACAAGGGAAGAGGATGGGGTAGGGCCTCCCTGCTCACCATCCTCTTGAGCTGTGGTCCCAGCTTCCAGCTCAGGCTCCTGCTCCCCAACAATGCTCTCCAGCTGAACTTCCCTGATATTCCAAGTAGAGCAAGGCAGGTAAGGCAGGTGTTTCCCTTCATTAGAGTCCCTTCTCCTCTTCCCACCAAAGCAGCCCAAGAGCATACCCCAGGCAGCTGGCAGAAGGTGGTGCCATGCACTTCTCATAGACAGGGCCTGGCAGCATGGCCAGTGGTGGGAAAACCCGAGCAGGCTGCAGAATGAGCGTCTGTACCAGCTGGTTCACCCGGCCCTGTAAGGCTACGGGGTCCTGCCCGGCAGGCACAGGCAACAGTGTGGGCCCGAAGCACACAGCCAGGTTGTAGGGATCCATCATGTTCTCATCGCTGTACTGGGCCAGGCTGGAAGAACATACAGATCACGGGCAGGGAGCTCGGGCACTGGGGACCCCTTCCACCCCTAGACAACTAGCTCCCCAGAAGCACTCACTGGTTGAGGAAGGTGAAGAGGTAGCGCAGGACCACCAGCACCGGTCCAGGCAGCCTGGACAGCAGGCGGCTCATAGGCTCCACCCGTTCACCCACGGCCTCCAGCTCTGTGGCCAAGGCAACCCAAGAGAGTGACTGAGTGAAGCCATAGCCGCTAGTGCCAGTGGGCGGCCCTCCTACCCAGCTGGTCTCAGGCCTCACCTGCAGAAGCCAGCAGCTCGTTAAATAGGTCTAGAGGGAACAGAGGGGGCTCCAGGCTCCGGAAGTACAGCTTCAGCACCCCAGCCACTGAGTCTAAGTCATGGGAGGTGCAGCCCTCCACCAGAGGGTCCTCCCCTGTGGAGGGTGAATGGCAGGATGAGGAGGCTGTCTGAGCCTGCTAAGCCCATTGCCACACTGCCTATCCATCTGTCCTCACCTCTCTCAAAGGCTTCTCGGATCTCTGAGATCCGGGCCTGGGCACCTGATACCCGGAAGATTCCCTCATGCTGCAGGCCTGTGGAAGACAAGGAGCTGGCAGGTAGAGTCCCCTCCCCCCAGGGTACCCAGTGCCAGGGTGGCAGGAGAAGATAGGCTGTGCTTACCATTGAGGTTAATGAAGCGGATACAGCTCTCCACTACCAGGGGCACAGGCTGGCCTGAGCTCTGTGGACAGAGACATGTTTATTTCACTAGGACACAGCATGTCCCCCTTGGTATTCGATCACTTTTCTGCTAAAAGTGTTACTGTGGTGTTTCTTGAAGTCTCTGTGAAGAGTATGATTTGCCAGTGCTATTTTAAGTGGTGCTTTACATTTTATTTGCAAATTGTTGCAACAGTATAAAAAGTCAATCAAAATCTGGATGTTGATCTTCAGTCAAGGAACACTGGGAAACTGAAATTTGATCATTTAAATCACCTGATTCTTATAAATGCCTTGTGTGCATAATCACACCATTGCAAATTACAGTGTTACTTCTCTTCCCTGACCTTTAAGACAGGGTCTCATTAATCTCAGGCCTCAAACATGCTATGTTGCCTAGGCTGGCCTTGCACTCCTGTTCCTCCTGCCTCCGCCTCCTCCCAAATACTAGGATTACAAGCATGTGCCACCATGCCTGGCTCCTTCAGATCTCTATTGTTTCCCTTTTTGGCTGATATGACCAAAGCCATGTGGGTCAGCAGTAGAGCCTGTAAGTATCTTATGCTGATCCTAGTAACAGGGGGAACTCTCAACACCTCACCCCTAAAAATGCTGCAACCCAGGTTTTCTGTGTTCCTTAAGAGTTCCCTTTAATGGGTAGGCCACTGGGAAGTCCAGGGAGACCTCAGTCACGCCTGGTAAAAGCCTGCACAAGAACACAGGAAGGGACTTTTGAGGTCCACCCAGGAAGGCCTGGACTAAGAGCACTGGGATCAGGCAGTTGCTTGGGCCACAGTGGTGGCCCAGGGCTGGAGAAAGATCTAAAGGGACAGGGATGGCCTGTAATGAGCTGGAGTGTGAGGCAAAGTGAGTACCTGAATAAACTTCTCCAAGTCACCTCCAAAAAGTCTCTGGTTATACTGGGAACTGGGACGGGGTTGGCGGCTCTTCTGGAATTTTCTCTGTGTGCACTGGGTCCTAAGAATGGGAGCTGCCTCTTAAGAGAACAGGCCATAGAGAGGACAGCCCACGCCGCCCCCAACCCAGCCAGGCCCTGGTCCTCTCCAGTTATTTCAGAATGCACTCGGAAAATTGGAACATTAAGGCCACAGGGTGCTGGCACCCAAGCTGGGCAGCAAGAAGAGGGCGGATGGAGGAGACTCTGAATAGACCAGCACCTTATGAAGGACTCACCAAGATGTCTCTCGCTCTTCCTTGTTACCTGGAGAAGGGAAAACCATGGGTCTATCTCTCAGGCTGGGGATTGTCAATGAATCCCAGAAAAAGGGGGCCTGGTGTAAACACTCAGGATGGTCAGAGGGCCAAGGGGTGAGAAGCCAGTACCCATGCAGGGTTAGTTCCTGCAGGCCAAATAACCTCACTGGACAGGGAGGAACACAGGTAAAGAAGAGGGCAGGGGCAGCTCTAGGCCCCAGACAGGGGAGGCCTGGAACAGGACCCACCTCGTTGTATAGCCTCCTGCAGCTTCTCATGCTTGGCCTGCAGCTTGGCAAGGATGCTTCGGCCACTCAGATATTCCTGTAGCTTCTGGGAAGCCCAAAGAAGAGCCCCTACTTTGAGCCCCAGCTCAAACCCCTCTACCCCTACTGCCCTGTGTGGTTCTGCCCCCTCTTCCCCTGCTGCCCCTCATGGCTCTGCTCCACCTGCCCAGGCCCACCGTGATATAGAAGGTCTCTGTCTCCTGCTGTTGGCCCCGTCTGCGGCCTGCCTGTCGGGTGCCTGGGTCTGAGCTTGTGGACTTGAGGGACTCAGTGGAAGGGCTGGTCTGGAAAGAGTCCAGCATGTCCCCATCCTCTGAGGCCACCACCTCCAGCAGAGCCTGCAGTGTTGCCTTCAGTGTCTTGTTCACCTGAGGGCACAGCATCAGGGCAGTAAATAGGGGACAATGTGGGAGGCAGGAAGTCAAAGTCAGCAGAAAGAGGAAAGAAAGGCTACTGCCAGCTAGGAAGGCACTGTCAGGACAGCCAAATCTGAGAGAGGTCTTCAGGCCCTGTTCCCACCCAAGGCCGAGCCACTCATGCCTCCTCTGTCTCAATGGTCTGTCCGTCCAGGCGACTCTGGATGTTTTGGGCTCTGGGCAAAATCTCGTCCCGCAGCTCCATCTCAACCTGGATCTCAGCCACCTGCAAAAGGCAGTACCAGGGGCTAAGGGCTAGGCCCAGGCCCAGAGCTCAAATGAGGCTGTGAGGATAGGCCTGAAGAAACGGCACATTTCTGTTGCCTGCCTCCACTTCCCAATTATTGGGATAACAGGTTTCTGTGTTGCTGGGGATGGAACTCAGGGATTTGTGTATGCTAGGCAAGCACACTAGCACTGAGGCACAGTCCCAGCCGCAGATATATCTACAGCACGCTGAACAATCACCCTACTCTCTCTTCCCAAGTGCCACCACAAAGGAATGCATGAAAGTGTAAATCATGGGAGAAAGGGACATGTGCCACAACACGGATGATTCTACAAGACAAATGCTCTATGATTCCACTTCTGCGAGAGACCTTATGTGACAGTGTTGGAGTCAAGCTCATAGCAGCAGCAGGGTAGTGGGTTCCAAGGAGCTGGAAGGGAAGCAATGGAGACCTGGGTGTTTAATCGGGACAGTTTCCTTGTTAAGAAAAAAAAAAAAAAGAGCACTCTGGAAGTGGATAAGGGTGATGCTTACCCTCACTGAACTTTGCACATGAACATACCCACACACATATACATAATTAAAGACATAGTGGTACAAGCCTATAATGTGAACACTTGGGAGACTGAGACAGGAGGATTGTCATGGGTTCAAAGCCAGTTTAGGCTATATATTAAGTAGCAGACCAGCCAGAGAGTTTGTCTCAAAAATACAAAAAACAGGGGTGTGTGTGTGTGTGTGTGTGTGTGTGTGTGTGTGTGTAGAGATGCCCACCTCACACCAGTTCTCCATTGCAGTAAATCTGCTCACAGCACGGAGGGACAGAGGGAGCCGTCCAAGGGTGGCATCTGTGGAGTATGGCGCTACAGCTGTGCCTTCAAAGGATAGCCACAGAACACAGAGTCTGAAGAACTCCCTCTGGGGGAAAAGGCCTATTCATGAGGAACGCCAAAAGGACCCTAATATTCAGGATTCCTCAGCAAAAGAGCTGAGCCCCTGTCCTCTCACTACAGGAAGACACTGTTGCAAGCTGTCACATATAACATATGCACTGTGACCCTCAGTACCTCTTAATAGGAACTGATAGCAAAGAACTGACAGATGTTTTCAGGGGACTCTAAAATGGACAACAGAGACCAAAGCAAGCTTTTGAAAAAAATGCCAGAAAACAGAGCAAATGCAGGGAGAACACAGGCAAATGAGCATTTTCCCAAAAGTCCAAAAGATGCCAGGTGTTGGGGGGTGCGTCCCTACAGTTATAGCAGTTGGGAGGCTAAGGCAGGAAGGTCCTGAGTTTGAGGCCAGCCTGGGCTACAAAGCAAGATTCTTATCTCCAAAAAATTAAGACATGGAAGTGTAGCTCAGTATTAGTGTACTTGTCTAGCACGTGCAAAACTCTAGGTTCAATTTCAGTGCCATAAATATTTTTATTTTATGTGTATGTATGTATTGCCTGCATGTAGGTAAGTGCACCTGTGTCGTGCAATGCCCGCAGAGGTCAGAAGAGGCTGTTGGATCCCCTGGAACTGGAGTTACAGACAGTTGTTAGCTGCCATGTGGGTGCTGGGATTCGAACCTGGGTCTTCTGCAAGAACAACCAGTGTTCTTAACCATCTCCAGCCCCATAAATAGTTATTTTAAACAGAATTCCAAAACAAAATTCTTATAAATGAGAAACATTGGTAGGCTAGGCATGGTGGTGCACACCTATAATCCCACCACTCAGGAAGCAGAAGCAGGAAGAAAACAAGTTAAGAGCAGGACCTGGTCAGCACAGTGACTATCAGACCAGCCAGAGCTACACAACAGAAAAGAGAAGAGAGAGGAGGGGAGGGCAGGGGGCGGGAAGGGAGGGGAGAATTTTCCTAAAGAAATCTCTGAGAGTAGAATTTAATAGAGAAACAGGAAGGAGGAAATTACAGAATCAACCTGTGCAGTCAAATGCAATAATCGAGTGGCGGGGGGGGGGGCATTGAGTGATGGCTCAGCGGTTAAGAACACTGACTCCTCTTGCAGAGGAAAGGACTTGGGTTTGAACACCAGCACCCACAAGGCAGCTAACAACCGTCTGTAACTCCATTTCTAGGGGATCTGACGCCCACTTCTGATCTCTGCAGGCCCTGCATGACATGGCTGCACCTACCTACGTGCAGGTAATATACTCTTACACATAAAATAAAAAATAAAATAAAATATTTTATAAAAATGAGGGTGAGTGGCAGTGGTGGGGGACACAGAGAAACAGACAAAGAAGAAATAAAGGGCAAGACATATCAAAGGAATTCTACAAGCCTCAAACAGACCAGCACAATCATTACCTAGCACCAGGATGGAAAATGGATCCCCAAGGCAGATTATCATGGAATTTTACATCAGAGAAGAAAGACTATCCTAAAACCTCATGGGATGACTGCAAAGATGTCTAATTAGAAATGACTGGTGCATGATGTATTTCCTCCCAAGTTTCCATTATGCAGTATTTTTTGTTTCTTGGTTTTTGTTGTTTTGTTGTCTGTTTAGAGACACAGTTTTAAACTGTATCCCAAGCTGTCCTGGAACTCACTACAAAGCCTAGGCAGTCTTGAACTCAGGGTAACCCTCCTGCCTGAACTCATCCTACCTCAGCCTTCCCAGTGATGGAATGACAGGTATGTGCTTTCATGCCTGGCTGTAAAGTTTTCAGTGCATGGTGCATGGATAGCCACAGTGAACATTTGGGTTGTGGTGGCTGTGCAGTGTTTGAGAGTAGCCCTGAGTGAGCTGCTGCAGCAAACTGCTCTAGTGGGCCACATGTGCCAGAGGCTGAGGAATGAAGGCCTGAACCTTTCTCTAGCATCCAGGAATTTTTTTTAAAGCAAAGTGCAAATTATGTGACTGACCCACATTGGCAGAAGGCCTTCATGGTAGTAAGAGGGTGACTCTTACCTCATCACCCTCATGGGGCTGGTATTCAAAACGTAGAGGGGGACAAAAGGCCATTGCATGCACTTCAAGCACCTTGGCCTTGTCCCCTGGAGGATCTAGGGCCTCCAGAGCCTCTTCCAGGCTGCCCAAGCCCTGCATCTGGGAGGCTTGGGTGCGGCTCTCAGCGGCTGTGTAGCTCCGCAGTGCCTGCCCCAGGGCCAAGTGGAAGCCTGTGTCACAGCACTGGAGAGAAGCAAGCAGACACTGCTGTGGGCCTGGAACCAAACCCAAGGGCTCTGGGCACTGGTGCTCTAGTACCCCGCCTCCTGCCTGCCCATCCACCCCATGCAGGACTCACATCCATGAGGTCCAAGACATCATGTAAGTAGTAGTTGCTGACAGCGGCGTTGACACTGGCTAGGCTGAGCAGGTACTCATTCCGGGCCTTGGTGCACTTGAGTTTATGCTCCAAGAACTTGGCCTGACGCTGCTCAAGACAAGGCATACCAGGGTTTCCCATTTGGTGGTCTCCCCTCATCTCTGCTCTTCCCTCCCCTCTGTCTTCAGATTCCACCTGATGTGCCACAGGCCTTTCAAACTCAGTGTGGATTTCTTCAGTCTGCCACAAACCAGCCCTTGATGAATCCTCAGTGCTCAGCCCTACTGTGTACATGGTACCATTCAACTCCAGCTCCCAGAACCTGACTCGATTCCCCATCTGTCCACTGGCCACTTCTGATCCACTGACAAGGGATGATCCCCCCACCACTGCCCTGCACTCTTCCCTTCCTTTGGTTTGAGTGCTCAACATGCCGCCCTACCATTCCCTATAAAAGTGGAAGGGGGTCACGTGGAACTAGATGATTAAGTAAAAGGCATTCCCACACACACCTCATGATGGAGGTAGGAGGTAGGAGGATGAATGAGAAAATCACTTGGGTGCTACACAGGGATGGCACAGAAGAAAAGGTACATCCCAAGTGTCAGGGCCCAGGTCATTGCCCTCAACCCCAACTAGCTTGGGCCTCCACATATTTTCCATGAGATTGCTTTGAAAGCTTCTTCTGGAATGGCACCCAGGTGCACATCTTGAGTTCTTGGCCTTCTGACACCTCTGGGACTAGCTAGGGGAAAGTCCCTGAGGCTTGAGAGTTCCAAGTGTTTTGTGCGCCAGCAGGGCAGTTAAGGGGACAAGCTTGGAACATAAGGTGATGGCCTCAGGCGATTATGGACCCTGTGACAGTCTTTCCCCCTATCTTTTAGGCCTGTTGAAATCCCTGTAACCTCATGGCATTGTTTTTCCATGCCCCAGAGCTACTAAGACTGAGGAGGAAGAAAGAACCTTGCTAGAGGCCTGTGACTCTTCCTCTACCCCACCCTGCCTCAGGGACAGGCAAAGACTTGCAAGGACAAAGGCCAGGGGCTTCAGAGTTGGACAGAGAGACCATCCATAGCCTTCAAGGCCCACCTTCTCTACCAGTCGCCCTGCCTTCTTGAGGGAGCTCTTGCGGAGAGGCCCTGTCTCAGCAGTGGCACTGGTGGCGGTGGTGGCAGTGGTCATGATCGTGGCAGTGGCAGCAGTGATGGTGGGCAGGGCACTCCGGCCCGCCCGCTTCTCCTCCTGCCGTTCAGCTTCCCGGAGCTTGGCCTCTGCATTCATGCTTTCCACGTGGTATATGTGGTATGTCTTCTTGGTCTGTAGGGAGGCCCAGGGCAAGGCACCCCTGCTGAAGGCCACAGCCAGGATCAGCCCTTTACCTCAGCCCATCTGGGACTCAAATCTGAGAGCTGGGCCATCCCATATGAGTATGTTGTCATTTAACCACGCTGTCCCCAGAGCATGGAGGAGAACTTACTTGCTGCCCCCAAACCCAGGTCTCTTCTGAGCACCCATTCTCTCCAGCTGGGGGATGCAATGGACTGGGAGCTATTCTTGCCTCCCCCTGACCAGCACATGGTGGGCCCTGCTTACCGTCTGGAGCTCTGAGACCACCTCCAGGAGCTCATCCTGAAGCTGCTGTACCAGGTCCTTACTCTAGAGGTGGGGGAGGGAGGTAACTATAGCATTGCCTCACTAGTGCCATCCTGGGATGACCCATCCCACCTCAGCTTGGCACAAGCCCAGCTTGGGCTATAATATCCTCCTTACTTCCCATACCTCTCAACCACAGCACTTCCAGATAGACCCCTGCCCCCCCGAGCACTTCCCTTGGTAGAGCCTTAGGCCTTCTACAACTTTTGTGATGCTACCTTTATTTTATTTTATATTACTTTACAAATTATTTTATTTTATTTTATTTTTGAGACAGGGTCTCACTATGTAACCCCAGCTACCCTAGAACTCACTATGTAGACCAGGATGGCTTCGAACTCACAGAGATCCACGTCCCTCTGACTCCTGAGTTACGGGATTATTACCCTACCTTCTTAACGATACGTCCCACATCCTCTGCAGTGTGACTCAGGCGTTGGGCCAGGGGTCCACCCAGCACCTCACTGAGGGCTGCACTTTCCCGACTCTGCAGTCGTGTCTGCTCCAGCAACACAGCCCAGCAGTGCAAGGGCGACAGGAGGGATGGTTCCTTCCTGCATGCAGCAGAGGGATACTCAGACCAGTGAGCCTAGACCGCTGGCCCTTGAAGGTATTGCTTCCAGTGTGGTACCTACCGGAAGCTTTGCTGCTCCCGGCTGCTGCCCCCCAGGCGGCCACTGCGACTGGCAAAACGTTCGGCCAGCTTGTCCAGGCCCCGGGAGTACTCCAGCTCCACCTCGGCCCGTCGCCGCATGAACTCCGCCAGCTCCTGCAGCAAATCCCTCCGTAGTTCGCCCTGGAGCTCCAGGCAACGAAGCTGCTCGCTCAGCTGCCAGCGCATCTCTGCAAGGGGACCTCGGCTTAGGCCTGACCTGCATGCACTGCGTGGGCCAGACAAGCCAGCAAGGGGTAGGAGAGGCAGAGACAAGCAGACAGCCATTCTGTCTGCCCCTAAAACTCCTTGACACCTGACTAGGCTAAAAACTGGAGCTAAAAGCAGAGCAAAGAAGTGTGCCCTGCAGCAGAAAGGCGCCCAGGCATGCTGCCCTGGTGCACTCGGGAAGGGCCTGAGGCAGGGAACTCTATGCTAAGGCTTCTGCACAGACCCAAGAAGCGGCTGGGGGCGGGGCTGTTGTGGGGCTCCGGCCAGGTCTGCAGGGACTTTGTGGCCTTCATACTCAAGGAGTCCTTCCCTCTGCCAGGCCAGGCCAGTGAGGGCTAGCTATGGCCAAGTATGCTAGTCAAGGCTGGTAAGTGAAGGGTCAGAAGGAGCTGGCCTAAGTCTTCTGTTTTCACTAACAGTCACCCACCCCAGGGCTTTCCCTTTACCCCACAGGGGAGACACCCGTAGGGGCCCCATACCACCTTATCTCTGGCTTGATTTAGCAATACTGCTTCCCTCACTCAGCTCTAAAGCAAAAGCTGCCTGTCTTGCAAGCTGTTAGCAATACCTGGGCCACCCACCGAGGGTCCAGGTGGGCAGTGGGGGCACCTGAGTATATAAGACATGCCTTGGCTTCTGGCAAGAAGGCTTTCCATAGACAGGTCTGCAGTTACATCCCTGGGCTGGGACACTAACTGATTTCTCCATTTAGTAGAATGGTGACTTCACATCCATTTTGTTATAGCCACATTCCAGACACTGTGCCTACTCTGCTGACTAGAGGAGGGAACAGATAGCAAGGGGAAAGAGCCATAGTAGAATAACCAGGAGTGACAGGTGCTAAGATGATGAACACACACATATAATCCCAATACTCAAGAGGTAGAGGTAGGAGCTGCAGAAGTTCAAGGTTATCTTTGGCTACATAGTGAGTTCTAGGACAGCCTGGGGTACATGAGACCCTGCCTCAAAAGAAATTATACAAAAAGCAAGCGGGAGAAGTCAGTAAGGAGGGGGACCGGATGGCCTAAACTCTGTGGTCCAGGATCCCCAGTTAGATGCCCCAAAGAGAGAAGAATCAAGTAATGGAGCCCTTATAGACTCTCTTCATTTTCAGGGTCCTCCTGGTTACTGTGTAGAGTCCAAGAAGATGGCAGGGGCTGGGGACCAGGGACTGAGCCTCAGAGGTAAGCCCCAGGGTAGCTGTTCAAAAGAATTCTACTGTAAACAGCTCAGCATGGGTAGACTTCTGTCTTGCCAGTGACTTCCCTGGGGCAGTGAAACCAAAGGCCTCTCTTTGTGGGTGTCTCTTGCCCTTGCCTCCCCATCTCCTCCCCTGATTTCCTCTTGCAAAATGTCCCCTGCCTGGTCTCAGACCCCAGTCTCTGAAGGGACTGACTTTTTTTAGAGGGAGTGGGAGGTTTGAGACAGGGTCTCACTATGTAGTCCTGGCTGGCCTCAAACTCACAGAGATCTGCCTACCTCTGCCTTCTGAGTGCTGGAAATTAAAGGTGTGTACCACCATGCCCAGCCTTGGGACTGACTTCTTTTCCTGACTCCAGGTGCCCCAGATCCAGCTACCTACATGCCCCATGTATTAGCCTTCTACTCTACCTAACTGGACTCCCTCAAGGGTTGGCTTTGGAGCATGCCCTTAATCAGGTCACTGGAATGACTGAATTTCCACCAAGGGGACAAATTAGGCAGATAGAAGCTGAGGTGGGGTGGGTACTTCCCAACATTGAAGCCAATGCAAGGCAGGGCAGAGCCTACAATGCCAAGTGTCACTGCCACCCGCCTCTTGTGGCTAGTGTGGGCTGTGCTGGCTTGCTAGGGTGGACACTAATACCACTGACTTCAGTCAGAAGGGTCTTCACTGAATGAGGATAAGAGGTTTTGAATGATAGTGATTTTTTTTATCTTATTTATTATTATTATTTTTTTTATTTTGTGTGTATGAGTGTTATGCCTGTGTGTATGAGTGTTATGCCTGCTTGTAGGTAAGTGCACCCGTGTCTTGTAATGCCCGAGGAGGACAGCAGAAGCTGTTGGATTCCCTGGAACTGGAGTTACGGACAGTTGTTAGTTGCCATGTGGGTGCTGGGATTCGAACCCGGGTCTTCTGCAAGAATAGTCAGTGTTCTTTTTTTTTTTTTTTTGAGACAGGGTCTCCCTGTAGCCCCAGCTGACCCGGAACTCACTATGTAGACCAGGCCTTGAACTCATGGAGATCCATCTCCCTCTGGGATTAAAGGCATGCGCCACCACACGCCACCTCGCCGGCCCCGAATAAAAGTGATTTAATTCATTCCAAGCAAGGTCTCAAGAGGACCAGTCAGGCCCTTCCCTCTGAGCCCTACCCTGCCCTCTAGGAGGGATATGCTCCCCAGGGAAGGGACCTATTATAGCTGCATAGTGTGTGCTGAGTGGAGCAGCAGACCACAGCATCCTGTGGATTCTCCACCAGCAGCAGCAATAGTCTCTGGATCTGCATATGCACATTAGCTGGTGTCAAGTAGCTATAAATTGCAAGCCAATTGCATTTGAGGTCCATGGAGGGCAGGGACCAGGTTGTGCCATGGCAGAGCTTACAGATCTCAGCTCAAAGAATCCTGTCCTGACCTCCTCCCAAGGAAGCTCCAGCCCTTGTTAGACCCTAGTGTGCTCTTGTCTGTCCTTTGCAGTGAGCAGAGTCTTGGGCAAAACAGATGCATATAAAAAAACAGCTGGTAGCTGGGCATAGTGGCACACACCTTTAATTTCCAGCACTTAGGAGGAAGAAGCAGGCAGATCTCTTGAGTTTGAGGCCTGGTCTACATGGTGAGATTGTCTCTCAACAAAACAACTAAATAACAATAACAACAAAAACCCAACTAAACAACAACAAAACAGCTGGCATCTGGGTAGAGTGGCACATGTTTGTAATCCCAGCACTTGGGAGGTTGAGGCAGGAGGACTGCTGCAAGTTCTAGGTCAGCCTCAGTTACATAATGAGTTCAAGGCTAGCCTGGGCTACTTAGCAAGCTCCAGTCCCAAACAAACAAAAAAACAGCTGACAAAAAGGAATGAAGATCCTACACATTTGCATTGCAAAGCTTGGCTCCAGGCCCCTCTAGCACTTCCTGTGAGCTGTGCAGTCCCCTCTCACTTTTGCTGACCAGTGGGGCAGAAGAAAAGATGGCCTCTGGAACATCAACTATGCTGACCTTTCAGAATTTAGAGCGTCAAAAAACTGTCCCTGTTCTAGCACAGTTAGAGGACTATTTTTTGTTGGGGGGAGGGGAATGGATAAAAGTCACAAAGGTTGGACACCCTGAGTGAGCAAAGGACATTTTAAAGACTGTTGCTCCAAACTTCAGTTTCTTGGTGGGAACTAACTGGCCTGTGTTTGTTTGCTGATGAAGACTTTTTTAAGGTCCTTGGGCTTCATGACAGTTTGAGGAAGTAGGATTGGACGGACCACTGTCTCCATCTAAGAAATGATAAAGGCTAGACTTGCAATCACCTCAAATTGGCTCTGGATACAGGTAGCCTCTCAGATGAGGAAGTCTGGGGCTCATACTGGTGGTGAAACATGCTCATCACTACAACACTAACACGACACTGGGACAAACTGCTTGCACTGAGTAATTACAATGGAACTTGCATCCACAGGTTGGAAAACAAGGATCATTTCCTTCTATCTCTTGGGAGCTGTTGTGCTGTGTGACTGTGCTTCTCTGAGCTTCATTCTACAATAAGTAAAATAAAGCCATTTAAAGTGATAAGTCAGATGTCTCATTTGGGACAACCAGGAACTGCAGAGCTCTTAGATGTAGCCTCCATTCCTTTGCAAGAGTCACCACACCCTGAATAAAAGCTGTCAAGTAAGAATTCACAAAGCTCATTTGCATGTGATTTGCACTAGGGTGTTTGTCAGAATCCAGAGGTCTAATAGCGTAAAGCTGCATAGCCAGTCCCATAGAATTTCTCTAGTTTATATCTACACTTGAAGCCTGACCCAGGGACTACCACCCTCACCTTCATGCCACCTCAGTGCCAAAGGGAGGCGAAGGTACCAAGGCTTTCAGGGACTCCAGTGGTGTTAGGGTGAGGTACTAGGCTACTAGCAAAGTCAAGGTGGCCCATTTCACTCTAGCTAGGAAGCCAGCTTCTTAGTCTGTCCTTCCCTCGGGCCACCAGAGTCATTGCTGCCTGAGTGAGCAGCAGCCTACCCAAGTTGGGCAGAGGTGGGAGGGAGAGTAGTAGAGGCAAAAGAGGCGCCAAAAAGCAAGGCTTGGGCTTCCATTTCCACCCCTTTCCGGGGGTCGCTGGGGATCAGCGTCGCGGGGGATCAGCAGGAGGCACATGGGGGTCTCCACAGGGAACCAGGCCGAGTGCGCCCTCTCACCTTTGACTTGCGCCTCATATTCTGCCTGCAGCCCCCGCTCCCGCCGCAGCTTCCCGTGTGCAGCCATGGCCGCGGGCCGCTAGCACCGTCGAGTCCCGATGCTCCCACGCGGCGCGGAGCCAGCGGGCGCTGGGACCTGGGACGCCACAGCCAGCACCCAGAACCGGCTCCGCCCGGCCCCGCCCCCAGCGCGGCCCCCGGAGGGGCGGGGCGACCCAGGTCTGGCGCTGCTCGGGTGGGGCTCCTAGGGACTGGGCCCCCTCCCAGGCATTCGGGGACTGCCTCCTTCCTCCCTCCGAGCCTGCCCCTAGACCACTTTGGCCGAGAGCTGGAGAGACCCTAGGTTCCTGTAAGCTGACACCACCTGCTGCTGTTCCCCACCGTCTCCAGAAGGCTATCTGTAGTCATCACTGCCAGAGCACACCCGCATGGCCACTGGCCCTCGTTACCAGTGAAGAACGGCGCCATAGGTGCTTCAGGCCCAGGAATGCCCCTGGGCTGCCCATGCCCCCCAGCCTCCCAGAACATCAGATGCCCCCCACCCCGTTCCTGAGTCACAGCCCTGAGTAGGGCCTAAGGGAGTGCAGACTGCTGGATGGGAAGTTCCCCAGAGGACAGCAGGACTGTGTTCCCGCTGGGCCCCCTGAGGGGGAGGGAGCAGGGTTCAGCTACAGTTCCCCTTCTGCTCAGCACCAAAGGAAAGAACTAGTCTTATTTCCCCATAGGTGGTTACCACTTCCTGCTGCCGGAAGAGACTTTTTTGCTTCTTCCCCTGCAGCTTGCACCTGCGGGGACCTACATTGGGGGGACTCAGCTACTCTGGGGGCAACTCATATGGGCTCTCTTATCTATGGATAGTAAGGGTTCCCCCCACTCCTACCCACCTATAAGCCATAGGGGAAGACACAGTAATCAATTTGAGGTGTTTTGTTTTTGGTTTTTGAGACAGGGTCTCCCTGTAGCTCCAGCTGGCCTGGAACTCACTATGGAACTCACAAACATCCACCTCCCTCTGCCTCCCAGTGTGAGTGCTGGGATTAAAGGCATGTGCCACCCTGCTTGGCCTTTGATTTTGTTTTGTTTTGTTTTGTTTTGAGATAAGGTCTCACCCTGTAGCCTGAGACTGCTGGTTATATAGTCCAGGCTGGTCTCAAATTTGAAACAACCCTCCTGCCTCAGCCTCTTGACTGCTGGAATTAAAGCTGTGCACTACCACACTCAGCTTCTCCAATGAATTGGGGAGGTAGAAGACAGGTGACAAGCCTCCTGTCTTCAGTTTAGTAGCAAAGAAGTCCCTGGGGTAGGGGGCTGGAAAGATGGCTCACTGGTTAAGAGCACTTCCTGCTCTTCCAGAGGACCTAGGTTTGGTTCCCAGAACCCACATCCCAGCCAATAAATGTAATGACTTCAGTTCCAGGAGATCCAATATCTTCTGCCCTCCATGGGCACAGCATGGACATGGTACACTTATATATGTGCATGCAAAACAGTCATACATAAAAAATTGTTTTTTTAAAGAAGAAATCCTTTAGGTATAGTTGGTGGGAGACAGGCAAGGCAGTTAGGCACCATGTGTGTCTAGGGAGATAGGCTTGAAGGTACCAGTGCATGGGAGTCCAGGTTTGTATATGCATGCATGGATGTCGAAGTGCATAGATAGGCACATGTGACCTTGACCTGTAGATCTGGCAGGGAGGAGAGAATGTTTCAGCCTTTCAACTGTACAAAATTACTTCTCTTGCTCAGAAGGAAAAAGCATCCTTATCCTTAGCTGTGGACCTCTCCTCAATCCCACTACCAAAGCCTTTTTCTAAGAAGCTTGTGCTCATAGAGCCTTGAAGGAAGGTCTGGGTGCTATCTACAGCCTGGCAGGCCCAGATCCTGGACTTCCAGCAGCTGATCTCAAATAATAATCCATCCATGAACGACCCTTTTGTGCCAAAAAACACATAGCCTAGTAGTGCTTCATGCTAAGGGGATTCATGCCCCCCATTGGCTAATCCAACCCATTTTAACTGCCTCCCCTTGTATCTGAGCCCTGATTGGTCCTCAGAAGTCCCTCACCCACCCAGCAGAACCAGGCCCAAATCTTAAAAGGACAGGAAATGGCTGCTTAACTAGCTTTCAAATGTTCTCAGTCCTGGATGCAGAAATCCTCATATGGTACCTCATTCAGACCCTGCTATGAAACTGCGTGAAATTCGAAAAACAAAACAGAAAGCTTAAGTGACTGGCCCTGGTGCTTAGGACACTTGTTTGGCATCTGAAGTCCTCAATGAAACTGTGCCCTGTCTTTTTCTTGGCTTTTGTTCCCCTCCAAGAATCCAAAAGCCAGGGGTGGAGGGATGGCTCCCCAGTTAAGAGCCCTGGCTGCTCTTCCAGAGGACTGGGGTTCGGTTCCCAGCGCCCACATGGCAGATAACCAGAGTCCTTAACTCCAGTTTCAGGGTATCTGACTCCCTCTTCTGACCTCCATGGGCATTGCACAACACGGGTGTACTTACCAGGTGAAGTTACCCACATTTGGGCAAAACACTCATACACATTTGGAAAAAAAAAAAAAGAATCGAAAAGACAAAAGTGGGGGTGGGGGCTAGAGATGGACCAATGGTTAAAAGTATTGATTGCTCTTGCAGAGGACCCAGGTTTAGTTTCCAGCACACACGGTGGCTAACAACTGTCCATAACTCCAGTTCCAAGGGATCCAAAGCCCTTCTCTGGCTTCTATGGGCATTTCACAACATGGATGCACCTACATACATGCAGGCAAAACACTCATATGCATACAAATAAAAATAAAGCCAGCCAAGCATGGTGGTGCAGGCCTTTCATCCCAGCACCTGGGAGGCAGAGGCAGGCAGATTTCTGTGAGTTCAAGGTCAGCCTAGTCTACAAAGTGAGTTCCAGGCCAGCTGGGGCTACAAGGAGACCCTATGTCAAAAAGACAAAAAATAAAAAAGTAAAAAGCCTACAGGTTATAAGGGACTCTGAGGCTGGAAGACCACTGCCAAGTCCAGGCCAGCCTGGGCTATAGTAAACACAAACACTCCCCACCCCGAAAAAAAGAAAAAAGATGGGGGCTGGAGAGGTGGCTTAAGAGTTCTTCTTGCTCTTCCAGAGTATCAGAGTTCAGTTCCCAGCACCCACATCTGGTGGCTCCGAACTGATTTTAAGTCCAGCTCTGGAGGATCCAATGCCTTCTTCTGGCTTCAACAGGCATCTGTACACACATACACATGGCAGATGCATAGAAACACACAAATACAAATAAAAATCTTTTTTTTTTTTGGCCTTTTTGAGACAGGGTTTCTCTATAGCCCCAGTCAGCCCAGATGGAAATCGCTATGGAGCCCACGCTGCCCTCGATCTCAGAGATCCATCCACCTGCCTCAGCCTTCTCAGTGCTGGGATTAAAAGCTTGCGCCACCACGCGAAGGCCAGATCTGCAGGACCTTTCATTTTTATTAATTTTTTTTTAGACAGGGTCTCATTATGTAGTGTCGACTGGTCTGGAACTCGCTATGTTAAACCAGACTGGCCTCGAACTCCTAAGACATTAGTCTGCCTCTGCTTTCCAAGTGCTAGGATTCAAGGTGTGCGCCACCATGCCCGGGGCAAAACCATTTAAAACCCGATGAAGAATGTACACTAATTCCTTGGGTGTATGAGAGATGAGATCAACTCTAAGGCAGGGCTTGGGCGAAACAAGGGATAGGAGCATGAATTAGGCAGTGAGAGTTCACTCTGTAGGAGCGTCCCTGGAGTCACCCATAGTCGCATAGGAAACAGGCGGCAGGGTCAGCCTCCCGGTCTCAGCTCACAAGTGGCCTATTCCAAGAGGCGGATGCCGCTGAGGCAGGGGAAATGCTGGGCCCCTAAGGCCGGCGGGTCTGCGGTTTCCCGCTCCGCAGCTCCCACCTCCGCCCAGGAAACCTAACCGACTAGGGGCGGAGGGGAAGGCCAGCGTCTACCAGCCGCCAGTGACTCTGCGAACCGACAGCAGAGGGCGGCCGAGCCAGCTCCGCGCGAGCTTTGGAAACCTCCGCGAGCTCCGTCCCATCAGCTCTGGGGCGCGGCCGAACCAGCGCGCATGCCCGCCCGCCCCGCCGCGAGGAGTTGGGCCCCGGGACCAATCAGAGCCTGAGAACTAAATACGTCCCGGGCTTGCGAACCGGAAGGAACTGACGCCGGCACGGTGGGCGGGGCAAAACACCTCCCCGACTCATACAAAGGAAAGCACGCAACTTCCGCCAATTGGAACGCAGCTTCGCTCAGCTCGCGGGCTGGAACTATCCGTGCGCAAGCCCAGGCCCCGCCTTCTAGTCGCTACTTGTCGGGTTTCCAAAGGATCTCTAGTGGTATAACCAAATAGAGACCCGAGCTACAGGTACAAATTATTCAATCTAGTGGCCAATGTGTCACTTGTTGGGACAGGGACATTATTATAGTTCACAGCTGAGATTTCCCCGTTCCCTCGGAAGGCGGGTGGTCCAAGCGCCTACGAACTGGGTACCCCTAGTGATAGCCTTACAGCTAGAGAAAGCTCAAGAGGAGCGAATGTTTAGGCAAGTGACAGTGTCCAGGGAGTAGGATGAACTCACTTGCTCTTTTAGTTCAAAAAAAAAAAAAAAAGCCGGGCGTGGTAATCCCATCACTTGGAAGACAAGACATAAAGATCAAGACTTAAAGCCAGCCTTGGCTACATAGCAAGTTCAAGACCACCCTGGGGTACACGAGACTGTGAAGGGGAGCGGAGGAAGGAGGAAACGACCTAACCGCTTATTTTATAGTTTCTGACCTCGGTCGTGGTGGTTTGGAATGGGCCAATATCCAGCTAAAATATCTGTAAATTCAATGAGCAATTGAACTTGGGCATTTGGGGCCCAGAAGGCATTCAATGAGCAAATGAACTTAGGCACTTGAGGCCCAGAAGATAAATAACTGCTCTACCTGAAAGCAAGTATGACTAGAGAAAGGGCTGAGTGGGACATAAAGGGCAAAGCAGTGGCAGTAGAAGACACTAAGGATGGGACAGCTGTCTTTGAACCTAGAGGCTGACTAGAAGGTCTCAAGAATCATATAGTTAAACCTTGCAAATTTAGTGAAGACATTAATAAGGCTGCAGAAGGCTAGCAAGGCAGCAGCACAATAGAGCATCCAAGCCACCTCGTCTGTCCCTACCCCCAAAGCTGCTGAAGGTAGCCAGGGAGAGGTGGTGTCCTATCTCCAAAGCCCTGGAAAAACTTCCCTTTGACTTGTGAGCTTGGTAGGTGGCTTTGGGCCAAAGGACTGTAAAGTTGACATCCCTGACGCGGTGGGGCACCGCTGGAAAAAAGCACATCCCAGTAAGCACATTCACAAATCCCCCAAGGCCACAGGGTGAGGTTTATTGTAAAAGCTCTGGGGAGAGGCTGTGTGGGGCAGGCTCTAGGAGGCAGAGTCAGAGGCCTCTGAGCTGTCCTTGACATCTGTGCTCTCTGTGGTCTCGCTGACCTCGCTGAGGTCCTTGCTGTCCCCACCACTATCCTCAGCAGCCAGGCCCTTCTCCTCAGGACAGGCCTCTCCTGAGCTTGGAAGCGCGTTGCCTTTGATCTCTGCCTTGTTCTCCATGACCGCCAGCACCATGTGCCTGCCCTTTTCTTTCAGTTCCAGGTGCCGCCTCAGCTGTGGCCGGGAGCCCAGGTAGAAGCGGGTGGAAAGAGACAAGGTCTAAGTCTCCAGACAAGAGGCCAGGAGAGCCAGGCTCTGGGGCTGGCCGGGGGAAGGGACACAGAAGTGGCAGGGCCAGCACAGCATAGGACTGGGTAGGGAGCCCTGGTTTCAGTTTTAGCTCTGCCCCTCTCTAGACCTGCTTTATCTATAAAATACCAGGGATTCTGCAGTCCTCAAATGAGCTGCCGAGGAGCCCCCAAAGAGTATCAGTGTCCCATGAATAGCCCTGCCCCCAGGGACCCTTTCTCCCAGTCCAGTTTGTTCCTAGCTCTGAGTAGGTAGGGCATGGCTGTCATCCTGTCCCTGCCCCCATCCTGGCTGTCTCACTCCCTCTGCAGAAAAATCTCCTCCTGGGACTGGAGAGATGGCTCAGTGGTTAAGAACACTGGTTATTCTTGCAGAAGACCCGGGTTTGAATCCCAGCACCCACATGGCAACTAACAACTGTCCGTAACTCCCCGTAACTCCAGTCCCAGGGGAGCCGGCAGCCTCTTCTGACGTCCTCAGGCATTGCACGACATGGGTGCACTTACCTACATGCAAGCAATACACGCATACACATAAAATAAAAATAAAAGAAAAAAAAGGAAAATCTCTTATTGTCCCATACTTCACCTGCAAACTTCATTGTCCTCCCCACCCCCCCAAAAAAAAAACATCCTATGGCCTCTTCCTCTACTTGACAGCTTAGGAAGTGAGGTGAAGAGGGACTTCCTGACTCCCTGACTGTAGCTGTAAGTCAGGTCCTGCCTGCAGCCACTATGGGCCTCCTCCTGTCTCAGGGTTCCTAAGTAGCAACCTTTCACAAGTAGAGCATCCCCACCACTGCTGAACTGCTGCGGTGGTCTGGCTGGACTCTTACCTCATCAGCCATCTGTGTGAGGTCCCGCTTCATCGCGTAGGCATCTTCTCCATCTGCATAGTATTTGGGCTCCACTTCACTGATCCTGGGGGGTAGGATGGAGACACACCTGGGGGCAAATTCTCCTGGTCCCTAGGCTACTGGGGCAGGTGTCATCTCCCCCTGAAGGACTCTTGTGGAGGCAAAAGGCTAGCCTGAATGGACTCTTCCTTTATTTATTTGAATGGACTCTTCCAATAGCCACATTTTCATCATGGCTTTCTTTTGCACTCTCCAGCAAAGCCAAGCAGCATGCAGCATCCAGGATACCAGGAATATGCCCACCCCCAGACCTGCCACCACTCTAACCCTAGCCTAACTAGCAAGGATTTGTGTCTTACAAGATGAAGCCCTCAATTCCCCCTCCCCTTGCCCTGCTCCCAGTCATTTACTGGGCATGCATTGGAAAGAGGTGCTGTATCTCTACGCAGGTAGTCATCCCAGACAACCTGGCCACTGCCCAGACAGCTGAGAGATGTATGTGCACACTTGAGCAGCTCTGGCACTCAAAGGGAAGCCAAACTCTCAATGCCTAGAAAAGCCTTTGCCAGCCTAAGACACGAGAATTGGTCTGTATGTGTGAACATGGATGCATATGGCACATGGAGGCTAGAGGCAGATAGGAGTCTTCCTCAATCACTTTCCACCTGATTGGCTTTTGTTTATTTTTTGAGACAGGGTCTCCCTGTAGTCCCAGCTGCCCTGGAACTGGCTATGTAGATCAGGCTGGCCTAACTCATCAAGATCCACTTGTTTCTTGCCTCTGGAATGCTGGGATTAAGGGCGTGTGCCACCATGCCCGGCTTGTCTTCCTGTTTTTTGAGATAGGGCTTCTAACTGAATCTGCAGCCTGCCCATTCAGCTAGGCTAGCTAGGTAGTAAGTCCCAGGACCTTCCTATCTTACCACTCCAGTGCTAGGATTACAGGTGCATGCCATTATACCTGGCATTTAAATTTTTTAAATTTATTTTTTATTTATGTGTATGTATGTTTGCTTATTTCAAGTGTTCTGAACCACTGGGCCATCTCTCCAGCCCACTCCTGACTTTTTTATGTGTGGGTGCTGGGGATGGAACTCAGGTCCTTAAACTTTCACAGCAAGTACTTTACTGATTAAGTCATCTCCTCAGCCCCCTCCTCTACCTTTTTTCTGGTCTTGCTGTATGGCTGAGACTGATCTGGAACTCCCTATATAGAACTCCCTATATAGTTCAAGCTGGCTTCTAAGGCAGAATCCTCCACCTCCTGAGTACAGGGATTAACAGGGGTGCACCACCACACTCAGCTAGAATTGAACTAGCAAGTGAAGCACTTCCTACCCGAGGCATCCTTACCTGGGTCAAAGGTCCCTCCCTCCCTGCTTCTGGGTATTGAGCCCAGCCTGGCTTGAAGGCCACTGTCCTGCCCTGGTTGTTCTTTACCTTCACTCCCTCTCTAAGCCTAGTGCTGTTCTGCATGCCCTGCACAGGCAGCCCACTCCATCCTCACTTTTAAGCAGCACTAAGTACTGCCAGGCCCTCTCTTCCATGCTGGTCACACGGAGATGCTTGTGTCCTGAGCAGCTCAGTCCTCAGCCACCATGACAACCTCACTGCTCTTGTTTGTGGCCCTTCATCCCCATAGCCCCCTTTTTTTTCTTGCTCTCACCTGATGCTTCCAGGAACCAGTTACTTCTCAACCTGTATTCACTCCCTAACCTACCCCTCTTTACTCCCAAACTGACAATAAAAAGCTTTGTATGTTCTTCACCACACTGCCCTTCACCAGCATCAGCAGCACCAAGCAAGCCCTTCTCCACCCAGCAAGATGCACTGAACCCCTCCTCTACCACACAGGCAGGAAGCAGATGCCTTCTCCAAGTCAGCTTGTCAGTGAACAGCCATTGAGTATTCAGAGACCTCTCAGCAATGTTGAGTACCTCTACCCCTTGCCCAGAAGGCAGCTCAGCCCACCTTAGCAACTGGATTGATCATGCCACTTAGAAAAATCTGTGTACTTACTGAAAGTTGAGGGTGTTGGAATAGAGATGCAGGGCAGCCCGGTTACTGCAGGAGAATAAGGCACTGCTGAGCTGCACAAACTTGGCCAGGCAGGTTGGCAGGCCATGTCTAGGTCCTGCTCTTATTCCTGGTCCCCCTTTCCCATTAAGCCTACCTCCCTTCTCCAGAAGGCAGGGCATCCCAGAACCCCTGGCAATATGGTGTCTTTTCCTCCCCACTCCCCCACATTGCCCCTTCCCTCAGCTTGGCTTCCACCTCTTCCTGACATGCAGGGAGACATATTTGGCATTGAAGTTCTCTATCATGGCTCGAGAGGCCTGGTCCATCAGCTTCTGAGCCAGGCCAAGGCGCCGATGGGAACGCTTTACAGCCTGCGGGGAGAAGGATGGGTAGGAGGTGGATCTCAGTGCCCCCTCCAAATTAACCCTACTCCATCTCTGCCAAACCTTCAGTAGCTCCATTTACCAGTGAGGTGATGTGTCCATGTGGCACGTCATCTGGGTCTTCTTCCCTAGAGGAGAGAACTAGAAAGGAGTCTCGTGTGGTGCAGTCTACCCTGGGTACCTGTGCATACCAGATGTGCAAATTCCTTAAGGTTGATCCTATAACACCCCCAGACCCAGGCTGGGGAGAACTGGAAACATCTGAATCACACCCAGTCCTGCCCTCCTCAAGGCCCCACATTGCACCTACCACATATATGTAGTGTCAACAGAATATCCCCCAGTGATTTGACAAACAGAAAGTAGCTTCAAGCCATAAAAAGAGTAATGCTGAGCCAGTCATGATGGCCCACACCGTTGATCCCAGCACTTGGGAGGCAGAGGCAGGCAGATCTCTGTGAGTTCAAGGCCAGCCAGGTCTACATAGCAAGTTCCAGGTCAGCTGGGGCTACAGGGAGACCCTGTCTCAGAAAGGCCAAAAAAGAAAAAAAAAGAGTAATGCTGAATGCAGGGCACTACACAAAGGGAGCCAGTCTGAAAGGGCTACAGACTACGGTTCAACTCTGTGGCATTCTGAAAAGGTGACTGTATTGCTGCAGGTTAGTAGGGAGGGAGGGGTGGAATACTCTAAAGGAAGACACTAACACTCTTCAGTTGTCCAATTCAGAGTGCAACACAGCCAGAAGCACAGTAATGAAGACCACAGATTTGCTTAACAAAACCTGTGTTGGTTTCGCAGTTTGAACAAGTGTACCACACGTTATTAAGAGTGTGGATAAGGGGTATATGTGTACCTTCAGCTTAATTTTTCTATAAACTTTAAGCTGTCCTACAAAACAACCTGTTAATTTTTGTCTGAGAGAGGTTCTCACTAATACTGCCCTGGCTGACCCAGAACTCACTATGTAGACCAGGCTGGCCTTAAACTCAGAGATTCACCTGTGCCTCTTGAGCACTGGGATTAAAGGTGTGTGCCACCATACCCGACATGTTATTTTTAAAAACTCACATGATGGTTCACGTTAATAATCCCAGCACTCAGGAGGCTGAGTTTGCAGAAAGACTGCCACAAGTTTGAGTTACCCAGTGAGCTCCAGTCTATGATGTGGGGTGAGACCTCTGTCAGACAAACAGCAGCATCCAGCAGACATGGCTTCCCACCCCCTTCTCCAAACCTTGCCCCCCACAACCCCAGCACTATGCTTCTCTCTTCCCCCTTGGTGACTCACATTTTTGCCAGGACGTACCCCACAATCTTCCCATTCTCATCCTCAGCAATGTAAGAGAGCTGGTAACAGAAAGGAAAAGGAAGTCAAAGCAGGCAGATGCCAGCTGGAGCTGCAAGTGGTGAGTTTTGACACCTGGCGATCTTAGACCCAAGGGGTTCGGGTCCCCAATCCACACTGTGTTCCATCTTGACCTAGAAGAGGGCAGGCACAGGTGCGAATACTGTCACTACCCTGTGTCTAGCCTACACTCCCTTCATCCACCTTCTTTTCAGTTGCTTGGCTTTGCCATCAGCCAAGGCTTCACTGTACCGAGGTTCTTAGGGCCTTCTCACTGCTTCTTTGCCTATTCAGATTGATGTTCTGTTTCTGTTGTCCGCTACCTCCAGAACTCAAATTTTGCTCACCTGGGGCCAGGAGAGTCCATGGTAGAAATAGTACTTCATCTGGTAGTTCTCGGGTAGGCAGAGGAGGTTGCAATGCTGCATGTTCATGAGGTCCTCGGGCTGCACAACAGCGGGACATGGTTATTGCAGGGGTGAGGTAACTAAGAAGGCCTCATTCACGTGGATTCCCTGTTCCCTGTCAAGTGTCCTGGGCCTCCCCTCCTGGGGCTAGACAGGGTTTTGACTGTCTGACTTTGCTCAAGTCTGGCCACAGGCGCCGCGCAAAGCGCACTGGTTTCAGGACCGAGTGTGCGCGCCCGGAGGTTCCCGGAGCTACCTGCTGGAACCCTGACATCAGGAGGACGCGGGTACTCTAAAGCAACTAAACAGGCGGGTGCAGCCCTAAACTCTGGCGGCCTCACGCAGGGCCACCACACCAGGGCCTCGGGAGCATGCGCATGCGGCCGCCGGGTCCGAGGACCACTGGGTCCTGAGGCCACGCGGCGCAGACAGCCCTGCGCCCCGACCCTCACCCTCGCGTTGCGGATGTTCATCCCGGAGGCGGGGTTCGCGGGTCCTTGGGGGACGTGAAAGCACTCAGCCGCCGCTGCTCGGGAACGCAATTCGGGATTGACGGGGGCCCGAGCCGGGGCCAGGCTCGCGGAGGTGGGGGCGACGAGGTCCAACCGGAAGACGGCGGATGTGCGCCTCTGCGGGATCCGCCTCGAAGCGGCGCAGCCAATAACCAAGGGGCCCACCGCGCGCTCGAGCCAATGGATGCGGCCGGGCGGCTCCTGCTGGGGGCGAAGGCCGGGTGAGGCCGACTGCGCGGGGAGTGGTAGCTCCCTTCCCGGGGCCCACAGAGGCGCACACACGGACAGGTGGAGCAGGTTTAGCTTTATTTCGCGCCTTCGCGGGCGGGGACAGCGGGCAGGGGGGCGGCGTGGGCTGGCTCTAGGCGGCCAAGCAGGGCGTCCAGCATCTGCTCGCACATGGCCAGGCATCGAGGCACGTGAAAGCAGCCTGCGGGGCAAGATGGGCATGCAAATTGAGAAGGCACGGGTAGCTGGGTGCCACGAACCCTTGCAGTTTCACTCTGTCCCCACTCACCTTTGAAAGGGCCTCCCTTGATGGTGAGGGCCACCTTGCCCTCTCGGTTCAGATAGCCAAACCATTCTCCGAACTCGGGATCCCGAAACTGGAATGAGAAAATGACAGGACCTACTTGGATGCCACGGGCTGAGGAAGGGGCCCTCGCTAGCCCCACTGCACACCACTACTGGTGGTCAGAGGTCAAATTGACCCTAGACGATATGGCTCCATAATTGATTTTAACCAAAAATGTCCTGGACAAAGATGAAAGCTGAGGGTGGTTGGCAGCAGGCTGCCCCACCGTGTAACTGGAGAAAAGGCTGCAAGTAGTATAGGAAAACACTTGATGAGGAGGTCTATATTTTGATTGTAGTGTAAGCATTATCATAACACTTTGACTCGAATACTTAAAATGGACAAATTTTAGCTTATGTAAGTTATACTTCGATACAACTGAACTAAAAAAGAAATAATCCTAGGTTGATGAGCCTGCCACGAAACTTACATGAGCTAAAATTTAAACTGATTTCAGGGGAGTTCAAGTCCTCTTCACAGGCCTGTGGTGGAATAGATTACTTTGCATCACAGAGACATGTGACTCCTGTCCTTGTTTAGTTTGGTTTTGTTTTTTGCTTTTTATTTTTTTTAATTAAATTTTTTTTTTGGTCTTTTTGAGACAGGGTCTCCCTGTAGCCCCAGCTGGCCTGGAACTGGCTATGTAGACCAGGCTGGCCTTGAACTCACAGAGATCCGCCTGCCTCTGCCTCCTGAGTGCTGGAATTAAAGGTGTGCACTCCCATGCCAGGCTTCTCATCCTTTTGACCCTGCGTAGTGAGTCTAATACTTTGGATGTGGGAAACAGCAGCACAGCTGGTTGGATGGATCCATTGCACACTCCACCCTTCTTTCCTGACTACACCTCATCCTGCATTTGTCCCACCAAGGCTTGTCAGGATTCCACAGGTCCCTTCACTTAGGACCTTCTGTCCTCACTGGTAAGAGTTAAATGAAATCCCTTCTCAGAAGGATTATAGGGCAAATCAGCTGCACTAAAGTCCACCATCAAAATGTCCCTTTAAGGGACCAGTCGTGGTAGTACATGGCTTTGATCCCAGCACTCAGGAGGCAGAGGCAGGTAGATCTCTGTGAGTTCCAGGCCAGCTGGGCTACAGGGAGATACTGTCTCAAAAAGCAAACAACAAAGTCCCTTTAAGGGGGCAAGACCTGGTGCCCCACACCTTTGATCCCAGCACTCAGGAAGCAAAGGCAAGTAGATCTTTGTGAGTTTGAGGCCAGCTTGGTCTATATAGTAAGCTCCAGGCCAGCCAGCACTACATAGTGAAATCCTGTCTAAAAATAAAAGTCTCTTTAAGAGGCTCATTGGTTAACAGCACTTGTTCTTGTAGAGAATCAGAGTTTGGATACTAGCACCCATAGTGGGTAGCTTACAACTACTCATTCCAGAGAATGTGATCTCTTCTTCTGATCTCCATGGGCACCTACTCGCAGACATATGCATACACATAAATAAAAATAAAATCTTTTTTTTTTGGTCTTTTTGAGACAGGGTCTCCCTGTAGCCCCAGCTGTCCTGGAACTCACTATGTAGTCCAGGCTGGCCTTGAACTCACAGAGATCCGCCTACCTCTGCCTCCCAAGTGCTGGGATTAAAGGCGTGCGCCACCATGCCTGGCTAAAAATAAAATCTTTTTAAAAAGTCCCTTTAGCCTGGCATGGTAGTGCAGCAGAGGCCTGGTCTATAAAGTGTGTTCCAGGCAAGCCAGGGCTGCATTTTGAGACCCTGTCTTAAGGTTTCAAAAAAAGTGTCCCTTTAAATTGTGACATATGAATTAGTATAATTTTAAGCCATGTGATGGCCTCATGCCTGTAATTCCAGCACTCAGGAGACAGAGGCAGGTGAATTTCTGTGAGTTCAAGGCCGACTAGCCTGGTCTACATAACAAGTTTCACACGAGCCCGGGCTGTCTAATGAGACTCTGTCTTTAAAAAAAATAAAGTATATTTTTCATGGGAGGTAAAACTATTTCTGTATGTATTCATTGTAACCTTTGAGTGACTTTGGCAAATCCTTATTTTTTTTATTTTTATTTTTGCAAATCCTTATTTTTAATTACTTGATCTGACACAAGATAATATGCTTCCTTGGCCATCTAGATTTTTGCCTTCTGCATTATCAAGTGATAGTGATCAACCTGTTGATTATAACTTTTGTAACTCATTTTTCTGTTTGTTGTATTGGAGACAGTTTGGCTATGTAGTCCAGGCAGGCTTTGAACTCACAGCCTTCCTGCCTCAGCTTCCAAGTGCCCTTACAAGCATGTACCAACGAACTGGCTCTTATACGATATGTTTAATATCATCTCTATCCTGTTCAAATACATTCTTATTTCATTTTATGGTTAAAACTGGTAGCCTCTAATCCATGCCCTTGATAAATACATTTAGTTTTCAGGCAGAGATTCAGGGTAATGACCCTCATGTTTGGTAGTGCTGAACATCCAGGAGAGCTCCAGTCGTTGCTCCTCTGTGTGCGATTGCAGTAAAGATGCAGCTGAAATTTTGTTGTTTCCAATCACAATAAAACTATGCTAGATTTCAGCCACAGTTAGTAGCCAAGTGTAGTGGCACACACCTGGCATACCAGCACTCAGAAGGCAAGGTGGAGGAAGGAGGATCAAGGTTATCCTCAGCTATACAGTGAGTTTTAGGCCAGCTTGGATTACATGAGACATCTTTCTTTAAAAATTACAAATAATTGGGCCAGGTGTGGTGGTGCACGCCTTTAATCCCAGCACTTGGGAGGCAGAGGCAGGCGGATCTCTGTAAATTCAAAGCCAGCCTGGTCTACATAGTGAGTTCCAGGACAGCTGGGGCTACAGGGAGACCCTGTTTCAAAAAAAAAAAAAAACAACCCAAAAAATTACAAATAATTTAGCCAGGCTTGGTGCCACATGCCTTTATCCCAACATTTAGGAGGCAGCGATAGATGGATCTCTGTGGAATTGAGGCCATCCTGGTCTACATAGTGAGTTTCAAGACAGCTGGGGCTACAGGGAGACCCAACAACAACAGCAAAATCACAAAGTTACCATTTTCCGCAGAGTGAAAGTCCCTGCTACAGTCACAGGGTTGGCATTAGAGCAGTGGCCTTGGACGCATTCCACCAATCTTTAAGTACATGCTAGAAGCCCTTACTTTGATTCCTTTCCTACTTCATGAATGATTTCAGTATCCTTTGCTAGCTTTGATTCTCACTTCTTCTATACTTGAAAGCTTACTTTGTGGCACACACCTTTAATCCCACCAGATGATTGGGATTGGGCAGCAGAGGCAGGCGGATCTCTGTGAGATTGAGGCCAGCCTGGTTTACATAGTGAGTACCAGGCCAGCTGGGGCTAAAATCTATGTAGACCAGGCTAGCCTCTAATTTGCTGTGATCCTCTGGTTCCAGCCAGCCTCCCAAGACCTGGGATTATAGGTATGACCCACCATGACCAGGTCACCTACATTTTTCATGACAGCTAGACATTTGTGGCAGGCCAGACCTCTCCCTCTGAACTACAGCCTCAGAAACCCAACTCTTGTTCTGGGAAGACATAGCTTAGTTGGCTAAGTGCTTTCCTTACAAGCATGAGGGCCTGAGTTAGATCTCCAGAACACATGCAAAAAAAGGCCAGGAATGATGGCAAACTTGGAAGTCTACCATTGGATAGGTAGCGATAGGTGGATCCCTGAGGTTCGCTGGCCAGCCAGCATATTTGAATTAGATGGAGAGTTCCAGGCCAGTGAGAGATCAGGTGAATGGTGCCTGAGGAATAATACCTGAGGTTGTCCTCTGACAAGGACACACACACACACACAGAAAGTGGGGGGCTGGAGAGATGTCTCAGCAGTTAACAACACTCATTGTTCTTGCACAGGATCTGAGTTTGGTTCCCAGCACCCACATGGCAGCTCACAACTGCCAGTAACTCCAGCTCTGGGGCATCTGAAACTCACCTGGCCTCTGTAGGCACTGCATGCACATAGTGCACATTCCTACATGCAGGCAAACACTCATACACATAAAATAAAAAATGAATCCTTTATAAAACCCCAAATGCTGCTTTACCAGCCTCACAGCCTAGCAGCTGGGCTCCCTGTCAAGGCTCAGGCTTTCTGACCCCTGGTGCATCAGGCATGTTCTTACCACATGGAGCCCACCTGGCTGGGTCCTGCCTAGTCTCCATCCTCTCAGTCAGACATGCCCTGTTCTCCATTATCTCAGATCCTTGCTCAGTGGCTACAGTCACTCATGTTCACAAGGTCTTCCCTGGTCCCTCTATAACTTGCCATCTGCTTTGTTTTCCACAGCTCACTGCTGTCTGCATTTGCTTGTGTACCTGGTTATAGTCTGGAAGCCCAGAAAGATGAATTCCTTGAGGTTCGGGCTTGTTGGTTGAGTGCACAAAAGGCACTCTGAGGACTCTCAAAGCAGCTGAGGGCAATGCCTGATGAGTGCCCATTGTGGGAAAGCCTCCTGGACCCCAGTCAGGCTAGCCCTGTCCCCACTGCACAGCCCTTGCTGCCTGTCATATCCTCTGCATCCCACTGGGCCTGCAGGAGACAAGGAGACAGCACTCACCTGGCAGAAGGTGTACTCAGCCACCTGGTAGAAGAGGTGCAGCAGGGCAGGGTCCCCACTGTCACTGTAACCCATGAGGAAGGCAATCATGGCTTCACTGTGTGGCCACCACAGCTTCATGTCCCACTCCAGCTGAGGGCAGAGCAGAGACAGGCAGCTGAGATCCCTGCAGTCCTTAGGACACTCAGTCCCACGCTCTGATCCTGGCTCAGTCTCTGTGTTCTTAATCATGAGACACGGGGAGAGGTCTGACTAGTCCCTGGGAGTGGGACTAGCTTTCTGACTTGTAGACATTCAAAGCAGCCCCTTAAAAAGACTACTAGAGGGCTACAGGGAGACCCTGTCTCAGAAAGAATAAAAAGGACAAGTTGTGGGGAAGACTCCCTTTAACCCCTGAGTTGGAATGCTGTCTGTCTTGTCAAGCTACCTTTAAGCCCCTTGGACACTGCTCCTACCCAAGGGTTACACAGCCGCCCTCTGTGGATCTGTAGCAGGATGTGGGTTTGAGAACTGGGCTCTAGGTTCAAATTCAGACCCAAATTCCCCTTCTACATGTTGGAACTTTGGGTAAGCTGCTCTGAGCATTCCCACCTGGGTAGGGCAGAGATCATCAGCATCCTGAAAATAGAAGAGGCCTCCATGCTCCGGGTCCCAGCCAGAGTGGAAAGGCAACAACAGAAACTTGTCAATAATGTAGGCTCGAAGTTTGGGGTCACTTTTCCGGATGGCATGCTGGAGCAGGAACCAACCAGCTTCCAGTGCATGGCCTAGTGAGGATCCAGGGTGGAAATCAGATCCTTCCCCAGGAATCAGGGTCTTGAGCCCCTGCCACCTCCCTTCCTCCCACCTCAACAGTGAAAGCTGCTCCATCTTTCTGTCAAAACACCCACTCTCCTGCAAAGAGGCCCCCAACACACACTCAAGCTCCTGTAGCCAATGCCCAGCCTTGGGATACCAGTCTCCTCCTGCCTGCTCCTTGATGGAAGGAAGGCAGCCCCTCCCTCCACCTGAGGCCCAATCTCAAGGCTAAATGCTTTCTTTTTCTGAACAGGCCCAGCATATACTGTGCCCTCACCTGGGTTCTGGTGTCTTCCTAGGCAACCAGGGAGTTCCTTGCCATCTTCTGATACGTTCTCTAGCACAACTTGTCCATCCCGCTGCCAGGGAGGAGGCAAGAAACAGCTGTTGCCAGTTCTGAACCATCCAACCAGAATGATCTAACCTCAAAACTCCTTTCCTTCCAAGACTGGAGAGATGGCTCAGTGGTTAAGAGCACTGGCTGCTCTTACAGAGGACCAGGGTTTGATTCCCAGCACCCATATAGCAGCTAACAACTGTCCATAACTCTAGTTCCAGGGGATCAGACACCTTCTTTTGGCCTTCATGCACAGGTGCACTTACATACATGGAGGGAAAACATTCATACACATAAAATAAAAATAAATCAAATTAAAACATTTAAAAAAATCTCCTTTCCCCCTTGGCACCAGCCACCCACTTGCTCAGTGGGCCCAGAGGAGCATTTTTGGTTTGGTGTGTATATGTATGTGTTTTGAGAGAGTCTCAGGTAGTCCTGGCAGGCTTAGAATTCACTGTGTAGCCAAGGGTGACCTTGAACTCCAGATCCTCCTGTTTCCACCTCCCAAGTTAACAGATTACAGGCATATGCTACCACACCCTGCTCCACAGGAACATTTTTGGAAGGATTAATTGTTTCCCATGGGCCTAGGATGTTCTGATTCTTCCTTCAGGCCTGGGTTTCTGGGGGTAGGGGGTGGCTAAAATGGGGAGGCCAAGAAGACTTGAATGCCCACAGAGGCTAGGGAGGAACAAAGATCAGAGTCTAGTTTCTAGGTCTCAGGATGTGCCTGGCGCTATGGCCTCTTCCTCTAACCTTGGGCCCTTACCCAACCCTGCCCTAACAAGCTTGGGCTTCACCTTCCTGAGGCCCCTGGGCTGCATTTCAAAGGAATAAACTTCCACATATCCACCAGTTTGGAAAGTTGGTGAGCAGGTGGCTGCAGGCAGAGGGGCCCTTGTGGCATGGGAGAATGGGATTCACTTTGTCCTCCGGCCCTTGCCCACCTGGACGTGCTGCAGGATCCTCTGGGCACACCAGTCCCCTAGCTCCAAGTACTTGCTGGCCAGTTCCTTGTCTGCCTCCCCGAGCTGTTCTACCAGGCTGAGCAGCATCATGGGCACCGCCATGGGTTCTGTGGCTGGGGTACCCGAGAGCTGGGGTCGGCCCAGTCCAGCCGGGTCCTCCCTCACCCAGTGGACAATCTGATCCATCATCTCCACAGCCTCATTCTGTGGGGAAGCCAGGCAGAAGCTGCACGCCCTGTCCAAGCAGGACTCAGGACACAGCCTGTAGTGGGAGTGCTGTGTCCACTCCAAGGACACCCGTTCCCCTTCCTGCTCTCAGGGAAAACCCTATAGTTGAGCACTGGAGGCCAAGCAGATACACCCGCACCCTGCCTGGGGGGGGGCGTTGGGGTGCAGGCTACTCTCAAGCAGAGGAGCCTGGGGTCTGGCATCCCCAGGGAAGGAGGGAAAGGACCCCTTCTGGTTGGGCACAGGGATGGAGCATTCTTTGCCCAGGATCCTGTGGTGGTAGGTATAGGAAGTAGGAGAGAGGTGAACAGACATGGGGGTCACAACTCAGAGGTAGGACAGGGGTGCATGGGAGCTGTGGCAGGTTCCTAAATCTGTTGTCAGAGTGCGCTCAGACCCAGCAGCTTATGGCAGTCCCTCTGACACACCTGGTAACGCATCTCCCCTGTCACTCTCCAGAGCTCGTTCATGGCCATAGTATAGAAACACTCGCTGAAGATGGTCCTCTGCACCTTAACTGGACAGCCATCCTGAGTCAGCACAAAGGCACACTTCTTGCTAGGAGGTGCCACTCTGGCATAACGCAGCAAAAACTCGCCACCTGGTAGTTGGGGAGCAAGCATGCTAGGTCTCTGGGGAGGACTCTACATGTACTGCCTCTGGAAAACTCTCCAGTCTCTTTCATGTTCTAGACCCTTCTAGGAATGAGAGATCCATTGAATACAGAAAGACAGGACCCATGAGGCTCCTGGGGATACGGAGACAGGAGAGGGTACCTGCTTTCGCCGCATCCAGAAGGTCAGTACGATGGAAACGCTCAAAATTGCGGTACAAGCGACAGTACATCCATACCTGTGAGGTAACAAAGTTTAAAGGAGAGCAGGTGGGGTGAGGGCAAATTCAAGTTCTACGTGGGAAGGACTTCTATTGTGGGAAAAAGTGTTGAGTGACAGCTTTGTGGCTGCGGACTGAGGGAGAGGACTGGCTGCTCCCTACCTGCCTCCCCTGCAGCCAGACATATTTGAGGCGGTCGTACACCTGCCCGTCTCGTCCAAGGCACGTGAAGAAGCCCCTGTGGGACATGCAGGATTTTAAAATATTGGGAAGGAGCTTTGCACACCTTCCTACAATCTCACTCCTTTCCTGAGGCCAGCAGAGCTGAGTTGCCTCAGTGAGATAGGGGATTGGGCGGGCGGGGCACCAAACCCGTGTTCCAGGTCATGGGAGTGCTTCATCCAGAAAGCCACCACACTGTCGAGCTCCTGTCCCACACGTTTCTTCCAGGCGTACAGTGTCTCCTGTTCCTTCTCCATGTCCTGAGGAGAGATTCAGGGGTTGGAAGTACAGCTCCTCACAGGAACTTCCTTAACCAGCTTAAGTGGGCCCCAGAACTGCCTCCCATAGAGCCCCCATAGATCCTTGAGCCAAGGGTCCCCTCCCACCTCTGCCCTGGGCTTCTGATCCCACCGTCGACTGGGACCTTTCAGAACAGCACCTCCCCTAACAACCCCACCACTGGCCTGCAGCACTCTGAGACCCCAGTCCATCACACTCTCTAACAGGAAGACAGAGTTGGTCGAGATCCCGTGATTGTCACTCAGCTGACCCAGCTGAGCCCCACCCACCCGATCATCGTGAGGGCGCCCAAGGGCCAGGGGCGTGGCCAGGACAGAGGGCGGGGTTTGGAATCTGCCCTCTGCCCATTTTGGCCTGGGCTGAGCACCCAGGCTCCAGATGCCCTGGTGGGAAGTGGGTAAGCCAGCAGAACATGACAGTCTGCCAATGGAAAGGGAGGAGGGGGTACTGGATCTGGGCCTGGTAACTGAGGCTGGTGGTCCCAGCAAATGTGGGGTTGGGGTACAGGTGGAAATAACTGAATCCTGAGACCCTATGACCCCATATAGTGGGTAAATCCTCGCTACCAATTTGTTTAGCTGCTTCAGCTGTCAGTGTTCAGCAACTCACAACCATTGGCCCTGATGTCTTCACCCCAAAGGAAGTTTCTGGAAGAATAGACAATAACCATGCAGGGCAGAGTGAACTTCCTTCAGCTCTCTGGGCCTGCCTTTCAGCTGCCCAGTATGGATTGTGTTGCTCTTTACTGACCCTATCAGATGTTCTGGAGTGGGCTGGCTGAGCTATCCTCTTGCTACCCTCATTGCTCAGCAGACTTCTATGGAAGGAGACTTCCAGGAGTCATAATATCTGAGGTACCTTGGGGAGCTTGAACCTTTTGTGAAGGATGGATTGCAGCCCAGGAGCATAAGTAGGCCTAGTTGATGGGCTCTGAGAGATGGCCAGAACAGATAATAACGTTCCTGGGCATGGTGCTGATCTTGGGCTCCCTCTACTGAGTGCTCCCTCTTTCCAGGCAATGGCTGCTGACTTGAGCTGCAGGCCTGTGAGCTGACAATCTTCCAAACTGAAACATTTTCCCCTTACTTCCCCAGGAAGTAAGCCTGATCCCCGTGTCAGGCAGGTAGGTGTATACTGCAGCTGCTGCTTTCATATCTACCCTCAGGTTACTTCATGTCTGGGGGACCCTGGCTCTGTATCCAGCAAAGCTTGATTGTGTGTCTTACTTATGTGGTATCCATTTGTGTCCAGTCTCTCTCCCCTCATGTCCAACCAAGGACAAACCTTGGTATGATCCTATGGGTGGGTCCCACTAGCCCTGGGTTTCATGGGAACAGGATGAGACAAGGCTATGATGCTTTTTTCTGTCCTCAAGCTGAGTTTGGTTTTTAAAAAATATATATTTTATTTCTTTCTTTGAAGGTATTTTTTAAAATATTATTTTTATGTGTATGAGTGTATTGCCTGCATGTAGGAAGTGTACCCGTGTTGTACAAGGTCCACATAGGTCAGAAGAGGCTGTCGGATCCCCTGGAACTGGAGTTATGGACAGTAGTTAGCTGCCATGTGGGTGCTGGGATTCGAACCTGGGTCTTCTGCAAAAACTGTGTTCTTAACCGCTGAGCCATCTCTCCAGCCCTCTATTATTTTTCTTTTATGTATTGCCTGCATGTATGTAAGTGCACCCGTGTCCTGAAATGCCCACGAAGGTCAGAAGAGGGCACTGGACCCCCTGGAACTGGAGTTACAGGTGGTTGTTAACCACCATGTACGTTCTGGGAACCAAACCCAGGTCCTCTGCAAGAACAGCCAGTGCTCTTAACTGCTGAGCAGTCTCTGCAGCCCCTTGTTGGTTTATTTTTGACAGGGGCTTGTGTATCCCAGGATGACCTTGCACTCCATCTACCAACTGCTGAGATTACAGGTGTGTGCCACCACACTTCGCTTCAAGCCCAGTATTTTGAGATGAGTACTAAAGGACTACTGGAATATTCCTTTTAAAAAAATTTTATTATTTTATGTGTATTTGTGTATTGCCTTTATGTAGGTAAGTGTACCCATGTTGTGCAATGCCCAAGGAGTTCAGAAGAGGCTGTCGGATTCCCTGGGACTGGAGTTATGGACAGTTGTTAGCTGCCATGTGGGTGCTGGGATTCGAACCCGGGTCTTCTACAAGAACCACCAGTGTTCTTAACCACTGAGCCATCTCTCCAGCCTTGGAATATTCCTTTTTAAAAAAAAAGATTTTGGCAAGGTGTGGTAGAATATGCCTTTAATCGCAGCACTTGGGAGGCAGAGGCAAGCCGATCTTTGTGAGTTCGAGGCCAGCCTGGTCTACATAGTGAGTTCCAGGACAGCTGGAGCTACAGGGAGACCCGGTCTCAAAAAGACAAAAATAAATAAAAAATCAAAGATTTTGAGGGCCAGGCATGGTGGCACATGCCTTTAATCCCAGCACTTGGGAGGCAGAGGCAGGCAGATCTCTGTTGAGTTTGAGGCCAGCCTGGTCTACATAGTGAGTTCCAGGCCCACATCTCTCTCTCTCTCTCTCTCTCTCTCTCTCTCTCTGTCTCTCTCACACACACACACACACACACACACACACACACACACAAAGATTCTGTGTATTATGTGCACAGGCATGCAGGTGCCCATGGAGGCCAGAGGTGTTGGATATCCGAGCTGGGTTAGGGTTAGGGTTGTGAGCTGCCCTATATAGGTGCTGGGGACTAAATTCGGATAATCTGCAAGAGTAGTATGCACCCTTAATCACTGAGCCATCTCTCCAGCCTTGCCTCTGAGTGTGATAAGCATCTGAACACAGGGGAGGTAGAAGGGTGACCCCACAGGTACTGGCTACAGGAGTAAGGTAGGAAGAACTCTTGCACTCCTGGCAGGCTAAGTGTCCACATCTGACAAATCTGCACAGGCCTCTCCATCCCCTCCTGGGGCCAACCCCAATGGAACACTGAACATAGCCAGCCCATGTCCTCCTTTCCCTGGGCATTGCTCCTACAGCTTCTATCTGAAGGACAGCTTCTCACCCCTTTCCCTAGGCTTGGGGCAGGCTAGTGGAACTTTCCCTCACTCTTCTTGCCAACAAGATACCCTCACTGAGTTGTCAGCCTCTCTTATCCTCCTGCCCAATTAGTACTACATCATTTAATCCTAGTTGTACTGCCCAACCTGGCAGCTGTCAGTTGGGGCCTGTAATTGTGCCTCTTCCTTTGGAAACCTGGCTTGTGCATTGAAAGCCAGAGATTTGGTCCTGCAGCAGACTGCCCACCACGTGCAAGACATACCTATCTTGTTGGGAGCTGACACTGAGCCTCCTGAGCTTGTGGTGGCAAAGCACATGGAGGCTGTGACTCACCCTCAGTATTTCTAAGGAAGCTGACTGCCAATGGCCAGCTAGGCCTTTGCCCTGGCGCTGTCTGTCCCCTAGTGAAAGAAAAGGTGATCTGGCCTCCATACCAGAGTCACCAGCAAATGCCCATGAGGTCCCTCAGCCTTTGGCCAGTAAGGGACCACGGCTATAGGCAATTAAGAATTGTTCAACTATGATCATGTTAAGAAGTGCACCCCCCACCAGAGGCTCAAGAGAGCCTTGGGCAGGTCTGAGCTTCTCCTCTCCAAAGATTTAAAGACATCCTGACATGGAGGAAGACACCAGATGATTATTTCAAAAAGTCTTTTTAATTGTTCAAAATAGCACAAAACAACATCGCACTATGGTAATATTGAGTCACAGGGGTTACTCTACAAGTATAGATGAATGGGTGGTACTATTCTCAGGAGAAATCAAAGGGCGCTTGGGAGGGATGGGGAAAACAAAGGGATCAGGCGAATGGGCTCCAACTTGACTAAACGTGACATTTTCCACAGAGAAATATAATACAATAAACCAGAGGCCCCGAGGGTTTAGGCCAGTGGAGAGAGGCTGAACACATTGGCTGTCCACTTAAATCCTTAGTAACTTGCTTATAGACATGACTCACTGTGGAAAACTTGGGTCCCAGGGAGAAAAATCCAGAGTCTGGGGGAGTACAAAAATTCATTTTGAAATCGTGTCTGATACCTATCCCCAGCCTCTTTGGGACACTGCATACTCACCTCCACTCTGGGATGCCTCCAAGGCTAGGGCTAGGCCCAATTGCTCCCTACCCCCGCTGTGGTGTTCAGCATCAAGTCTCTGCAATAGTTGATGGTGACGGAGGTGGAATCCACCTTCAAGTCCAAGCCTGTACATGTCAAGTGCTAACCCACAGGGAGTGAGGTCCAATGTCTCACACTCTGTTCCAGAGGCAGGCAGGGACTGGTAACAGGAAAATTGGGCTGAGCAGTGAGTACCAGGTGCCACCCTCCGGGACACTCCATTATCTCCTGCCCCAGCTTTCCCCCAGGAAGATCCCTGCCAATGATAAGCCGAAAAGGAAAAAAAAAAAAAAAAAAAAAAAAAAAAAAAAAAAAAAAAAAATAAAGAAGAAATTTTAATAAACCAAAAAGAGTTTCCATTTCTAGTTAGTCTGTACACAGCTAACAAAACGGGGATAAACCCCCACACGCTAAGGCTAAAATTACAATAAAAATGTTAACTTCATCACTTTCAACCTAAAAAAATACAACAAATGCAGCAGTTGGTGATGTGGCCTCCAGGCTCAAGCCAGGTGGGCCAAAGCTGGGGTCCACTCTGCCTATCAGGAAGATTTCACAGCCACCATTCAGACCACCCAAGGCTCTGCTCCTTCTTTTCCCTCTTTTCTTTTTCTCTTTGCAGAGGAAGGGGAGTTGGGAAGGTGGGAGCACAAAGGCTGCTGAGATGTGTAACCTTCCTGTGGGGTTTGCTGGGTGAGATACGGCTGGCTAAGCCTGAAAAAGGTACAGGAGGTGGCCGGAAACACAAGGGTAGTAACACAACAAAACAGAACCAGACAGACACCCAGGATGGGGCACCTACCTGGGAAAGCCTCTCTGAGGGGACTTGGGGGACACCCTCCCCCCAGCCCTTGGCTGCCCCTCAGGCCAAGGGCAATGAACCACAAACAAGTGCAGGCTTAAGTGTGGGTGCTATCTCCTTTGTTTTCAGTTTCAATTTCTCTTCCCAAGGTCTCTGAACTGTCCAGTCTCACTCTGCCCAGGCAGGGCACACGGTGGGGAGAAGGAGCACAACTCTCACTCGTTCGTTTGTTTGCTCACCGCTCTTTCCAGTCTGCCTTCTGCTTCCTCCCAACAGCAATGGTTAAAATGTGCTTTCTTTATTGTAAAAACAGAGGGAAAAGGGGAGACTGAATGGTGGCCAGTGGCTGGTGAGGGCGAAGTGCAAAGGCCAGGTGGGCAGGGTGGGAGGGTAGGCCCTACAGGGCTGTTCCTGAAGCAGAGGGGTCTGGAGCATCCAGGTGCTGGCCAGCTTTCTCACTGACCGTCAGCCTTAGACTTCTTTGGAGCAGATTTCCTTGTGAAAAAGAGAAGGGATATTAGGAAGGGTCCCAATAGCATCCTAAAAGCATTGATGAAGGGCCCTGTGTGAATACAGCCTCAAGCAGCTATTGATAGGCTGAGCCCACTATCCCCACTCTAAGCCTTGCCACAGAAGTTTGACAAAAGGTTTGCTGCTTACATTTCAGGAGATGACATTGGCCGCTTGCTGGCCGGCTTCGTGCCCGAGCTGTCTTTACTGGTTTCTGAAAGAAACAAGATGGATAGTGAGCAGCACAGCACCATGATCCTGACCCTGTGTCATCCTCTGACCCTGTGTTATCCTTTGGGTTCCTGATCCTGGGGGGCGGGGGTGGGGTGGCGGTGGTGGTGGTCAGAAGCTCTCTCAGCTCAGCTCTAGCCTCTAGTTGCTCTTCCCACAGCTGCCTGCTGTCACTGCAGTCTGGGCTCTGGCCTCAGTCTGGGGCCTTGGGACGTGCTGTTCTTGAGTCAGAAAGCGTCTGCTTTCTTATGGGCCCTCCCCATCCCATCTCACTTCACTCAGGGTGCCATCTGTGCACCCTGAGAGTAAGGAAAGGCCCTCTATAGCACCATGTACCTTGCAAACCTCCCTAGTATAGTTAAATCCCCCTGCCCCACTTGCTGAGTTTATCAATTGAGCAGGAATGACCAGGGGAGAACAGGATGGTCAAGATGACAAGGGGCATGTGTGAATGGTCTCCAATGGAGACAATTCCTACAGCCAGTCAGTGCCAACTTCCTGCTGGGCCTGGCTCCCTGTGCCTTCCCTAGACATCACCTTAAGAGGTCCACTGAATAGCACACTCACCTTGCAACCACCTCACTTGTGTTGCTGGGCCATAGCCCTTTTCGTTACGGGCAGCAATGCGGAAGATAATCGCAGGCTTGGTGGTGTAGTCAATGTGGGCGTTGGAGAGGCTGGAGGACTGCACAAGGCAGGAGGGGCTGGGACCGCAGTACACCCTCATGAAGGCCAGCTGGGCTGGGGTGGAGCTCTTGGGCTCCCCACCAGCCTGTGAGCTCTGGATGGCCAGGTACACAGAGTATTCGATGATCTTGCCAGAGGTCACAGATGGTGGTTCCCAGGTGAGATGAGCACCATCTGGACTCTAGAAGGCAGGACAAAAAGTCAAGTCTTGTCTTCTTCAGCCACTGTGACTTCTACCTGTGCCTAGAGCAAGAAAGCTAGAAACTTCTAGAACCACTAATACCTCTCACAAACCATTATTTTTTTCCCCAACACAATAAATATTCCAGGGGTCAGTGAGATGGCTTGGTGGTAGAGTTCTAAAGGCACCCACTGCCAAACCTCACTGAGTTCGAGCTCTACGAACCACAGGATGCTCTCTGACTACCGGTGCACCTACCAGTGGAGAACATGGCACATAGCCTCTGTCCTCCATGCATGGATGTGGCTGCTTTGTCCATATCTGCCACTTTCTTGGACCAGCCCCCCCACCGCCTTATAGTCATATGCACCTCCCCAGGGCAGACCAAGGACCAACAGGACCAATATGGAACAGAAACGCAGCCCATAGTTGAGACTCACCTTGCTGATTTTGATGGCACAAGGAGCCCCTGGGAAACCAGGCAGACACGTCTTAAAGGCTGAGATCTCACTGAAGGGCCCCCGGCCACAAGCATTGATGCCAGCAACACGAAATTTATAGGCTGTGCCTGGCTGTAGCTCCTGCTTCTTCAGCTGGTTATAGTCTGGGACCATGCCTGAGTCATCCTGGGGAAAGAGATGGAAAAATAGGTAGAAGAAAACAGCATGAAGGCTGCTGTACTCTGATAGCGTGCTTATCCAAAACAGCTAAGGTCCTAGGGTCCACCCCTAGTACTACAAAACCAAAACAAAGAGCTGCTGCAACCTGGCAACACTGTAGGTACACAGCGACTATAGGATCAAGAGGAAGGTGGTCAGCAATAGGTGCCCCTTTACAGCAAAGCACGAGGGACATGGTAAGGTTGACTGAAGCTGGGTATTATCAGGGAAGAACCAAAACGCTTTTTTTCTTTTTGTTGGTTTTTTGACAGGGTCTCTCTAGTCACAGATTGACCTGCCTCTACCTCTGAAGGGCTGGGATTAAAGGCGCACACTACCACGCCCGGTGCCCAAAACACTTTTATTCCCTGAGAAGGTGGTCTCCAACGGGCTGCCCTACCACTTCCTATTCATTCATGTGGCACAAAAGTAGTTTTCCTGTGAGCCTGCTCTCAGAGGGAGCTAAGTTTGCTTCTACAATAGTTGCCGTATGGGCAGGATCCACCCACCTAAGGTACCAGTTACTTACATCTGATGGAACAGCATCATCTGATGGCAGGAAATAGTGTGTCACCATTACATTGGTGCCCTTAATGACACCTACATCAAACCACTGGTTCTCCTTTTTCACAGGGGCTTTGCTGGGTGGGGGTGGCAAGTCTGCTTTCTGGAGAACAGAAATGAGATGACATCACGTTCTTAAGGGACCAGAAACAGTGTTGTCCCTGTCCCTGGGCTCTAGTGCACCTGACTCACCACACCCAGGGACTCGATGCCATTGGCCACTTCAGTTAGAGTAGCTGCAGCTTGCATCTTTGCTGGGCTAGCTACCACAACAGGCTGGGGAGCCACAAATGTGTTGGATGGAGCCAGGCCTGGGAAGAAACAAACTGTCAGGTGGAAAGGGTTCTGTGGTAGGCAGGAGCCTCCTTGGCACCTCCAGGTCACCCTTGCCACTGTGTCCATCTCCCATCTATTCAACTCTAGCAACAAATAACCCCTGCCAAGAAGTAGACCTGCTTACTTTCAGTGGCTGTCGAAGGTAACAGGGCCACAGTGCTGGGGACAGCACTAGCCAGCTCATTGAGGCAGTTGCTCTCGATGGTAGGGTCATTGAGGCTGTCAGCTGGGGCCAGGGCCTCAGTGGGGAGGTGGTGCTGCTGTTGGGCCTGGGCCTCCTGAAGCTGCTGTTGCTGCTGCACCAGGGCTGCAAGCTCCTGCTGTGTCAGCACAATGGGTATGGTGGTGGCCTGGCCCTCTTGGCCCTCGGCTGAAAGATGACCCAGTTCTGCCTGTGTCACAGCCGCTGCCGCTTCAGATGTGTCCATGGGCTCTCCAGTGCCTGCTCCAGGACCAAGAAAACTACTACTCAAAAGGGATACCAGTACGCCTGCCCCAATGGACAGAAATAGTGTTCCAGATGGAGACATGTAGTCTATCCCAGAGACTGTCTCCTTCCCAGACCCCCACCTGATCTACACAGGCTTCCTTTGCGGCTCTTTGCACTCTCACAGGAAGTAGGCCTTCTCTTCTCAGGCTATCCCTTAGTCCTCCTGGTAGGGCCATCACTCATCCCAAGGGGCCTGACTTCCCTCCAAGCTCCCAACTGGCACTTACCCATGACAGCCTGCTGTGCGGCCTGGAGCACAGCCTGGATGGCCAAGGCTTGGGCTTCTTCAGTGGCTGCAGCTTGGGCAGCTGCTTCAGCAGCAGCAGTCACCGCCAGCTCCTCTGGAGTGAGCCCTGTTACCATGAGGGTTGTGGTGCCTGCCTGGGCCTCGGCCATCAGCTCTTGGGGAAGTGATAATTGGTCTACTTCAGACTGGGTGGGAGGGGGTGGCTGGACCACCACAGTAGCCACGACAGCAGAGCTGGCAGGCTCCTGGCCTGAAGATGGGTCCCCTGTGCTGCTCAGATCCACGGCGGCCTGGAGCTCAGGGGTCTGGGAGGCTGACAGGACCTCGGCGGATTCCCCCATCAGAGGTGTGGAGGCAGACTGCAGGAGTTGCCGTGGCGGCAGCTGCTGGCGAGGCCCTGGTGAGACCTGGAGTTCCTCTGGGGGCTGCAGGATGTCAACAGCAGAGAAGGGCATGTCAGAAGTTTCTGTGTTGGCTATGGTCACTGTAATCGTGGCCGGGATGGGGACTTCGGAAGTCAGAGCCCCTGGGGTAGTCTCAGTCAGTGATGAGATGTTCTAGAAAGGGAGAGAAGCCCCTATCAGAGAAGAGGAGATGGAGACCAGAACCAGGAAGTGGGGCTGAAAAGGAAGATGGCCTGTTTTTCCTAGTAGACCTATGGTACCATTTGTGATAGTCCACTGAGCCCATACTAAATGTGGATGGGGATGGTGGGTCCCAGAGCAGCATGAAGGGTGTGGCAAAAGGAGAGACCCTTGAGATCCCCCTGGGTCAAGTGCAACTCATGCTCAGAGGCTTCACCGTGGAGACAAACAATGGGCAACAGCCAGGATGGGAACCAGCATCGAAGAAAAAACACCCAGGCACCTCTAAGGACTGTCTGCCTTCTGCCTCCTGCCTCCTAGGCACCAAGGCTGCCCTTTTATGGTCTGGAAAAAGAACCAGGAGTAACACCATGCCTGGTACAAGGGTGACACCTGGTGTCCAACTCTGGAACAGCACAGACCAAAGGCATAGTCGACAGAAGGCCACAGAAGGGACCTTCCAGGTTTCTTACCGGCACAGAAGGGCCTGGAACTGGTGTGGACTGTGTCACAGTGGTCACAGCTCGTGGCAGCGTGGAAGACACAGTTGTTGTGATGGCACTGGAGCTGGTGATGTTTGGGCTGTCACCCTGTGTACTCTCTACCTCTCCCTGGTCGCTGGCAGCTGGTGGAGGGTCTGTGGGGGTAAGGGAGGAACCAAAGGGGAGATGGGTTGGCTTCCACTTACCTTTACCACAGGTTTCCTGGAAAACCCCTATACATGACCGACACAGACAGCACATCCGTACCCCACCATACTGACACCTTCACTTACCTTGGTTTGAGCTCATGTTGGAGGTGACAGTGGTGGCTGTGTGTGTGGTACCTGTCTCATGGGTCTCACAAGGAGGGTTAGAGCAAACCCTCTGTGTTGGGAAGGGAGTCAGCAATGTGGCACCAGCCTGAGATGTGGCAGCCACTGCTGTCTCCAAGCCAGACTCCAGGGTCCCATGAGATGGGGTGGCATCAGGAAGCAGGGCACCCACACTGATTGACATGGTGGTGCCAGTGGAAGTGGTCTGGTGTGTCTCACAGGGACGGCCACCAGCAGGTTGCTGTCCACCCTCGGGCTGGCCTGCACCATTGGAAGTGGCAGTGGTGGCGGTGTTGGTGGTGCCCGTCTCGTGAGTCTCACAGGGTGGGTTGGAGCATACTCGCTGGGCACTGCCTGCATTGGAGGTAGTGGCGGTGTTGGTGGTGCCCGTCTCATGGGTCTCACATGGTGGGTTGGAGCAGACTTGGGTCACGGTGGCTGAGGGGCACAGCAGTGCCTCCAAGGATGTCACAGTCATGGTGGTGCTGGGAGAGCTGGTCTGGAGACTCTCATATACAGATGTGGGGACCACTCGAACTGCACCCAGCTCCCCAGAGCCCATGATAGAGCGGGCTGTGGTTGGGGTGTTGGTTGTGTAAGTATGATGAGTCTCTAGCTGGTGCCCTGTGGGCATGTCTTTGCTGCTGGGGCCACTCAGCCCAGCTCTCCCACTTGGAAAGGTCAGCTGCACAAAGGCAGGGCTGTGGGCCCCAGCCTCCAGCGCCACACTTGGCCTAAGCAGTGGGCCAGCTGAGCAAGAGGCTCCGGTGGCCTGCACAGTCATGGTGGTGCTGGTCACACTGGTCTGGCGGGTTTGGCATTGGGACTTCACAGTACCCTGGGCTCTTTCCAACGCTCCAGGAGTCACACTGATCCGCACCACAGTGGGGGTACTGGAGGCACGATGAGCATCTCGCTGCTGCCCAGCACCCATGCTGGACATGGCCGTAGTGGCAGTGCTGGTGGTGCCTGTCTCATGAGTCTCGCAGGGTGGCTTCGAGCAGCCGTGCTGCCCAGCCATGTTGGAGGTGGCTGTTGTGGCAGTGTTGGTGGTACCCGTCTCATGGGTCTCACAGGGAGGGTTTGAGCAGACACGGACCATGTTACCATTCTGTTGTCCCACAGCTGAGGTCACAAGAGAAGCACCTGCCTCCTGTCTGTCACAAACAAACTGTACCTGGGTAGGCTGAGGGTGTCCCCCAAGGTTAGCCACAACACTGGTGGTGGCTGTATTGGTGGTGCCTGTCTCATGGGTTTCACAGGGTGGGTTGGAGCACACCAGTGTCACAGTACCAGGCTGTACATCACCTTGGCCTGAGTCAGGAATGGTGACTGTGGCTGTGGGCTGTTCTGTAGTAGGTGAGGCCAGAATGGACACAGGAAGGTCATGCACAGGTTGGGCCTCAACCCCACTGGGTGCTGTGATCAGAGTCACCTGGGTAGGCTGGGAGACAGGCTGGGGACACAGAACAACGGAGTTAGTACCAGAACTTTGACTTCTCTTTTGTCTCTCACACCATCCTACATTCATCCATGCTGGCTAGGACCACCAACTGCTAACCGGACCTGCAAACCTAATTTTCATTTGTCCTGTGATCCCAAGATAATGACTTGCTCAGAGATGAGGGTGGAGGGGCTGTTAGGTAGTTATGGCAGGAGAGGGGGGTGGGCTACTACTGCCAAGCTCTGGTCAGGAACAGAACTCCTGACAATGCAAAAAGGGCAGTAATAGATCCCTTATCACTTCTAGTCCAGTTTGAGAAAAAAAATATGACAGAACATATAGTATATGCACATGAAATTCAATTATCGCCTCCTATAGCACTGTAAGATCCTAGTGTGTGAAAACTGAACACAGCTCAAATAATGTGTCAGCAAGACAATGTGACAGAGGTCACACCATGTGTCGGAAAGACGCCACAGCTGCATGCAGTAGCAGAACAGCATCTGGAGAGGGGAGAAGGGCCCAATTTTCCCTGCTTTCATGTGGGAATGCTGTTTTTTGGTTTTTTTTTTCCCGGTGGCATATCCTCAGGACCCACCTACCTGCATTGTGATGGTGGGCGTGGTGAGCCCACCAGCAGCTGTCAGTGTGGTCTGTGCAGCAGACACTGTGATGGCTGTGGGGTTGATCACCTGGCTTGAGAGAGTAGCAATGGTGCCCAAGGTGGTGATAGGTGTGGCCAAGGAGGCACTGGTGCTGTGGGCCCCAGCTCCTGCAAGGCTGGTGGAGACAGTGCCAGTCACCGTGCCTAGGGTTGTGACACCTAAAGGGAGGGAGAAGCAGAAGTAGAATGAGATCTGCTGCTGTCACCTGCTTTCCAGCATCTCTGGAAGGGGCTGGGAATTGGGAGCTCTGTAGTATAGCCACCAGGGACAGAAGGCTCTGGAGAGCACCTGCCATCCTCCCCCAGCCAGGCTAGAGGTGGTGGCCACAGGAAAACTGGAGGGATGGAGCCCAGCTGCTGCTGAGGACCTGGCCTGTGGGCTACACACCTGTGGTACCCTTCACAACCAATGTGGTGACGGCTGGCTTGACAGCGGAGACGGTGACAGGGGTGACCAGGCGAACGCCGCCCATGGGCACAGTACGAAGGATGGTGCCTGGCTGTCCAGGGGCCCCCTTTAGCACCACCTGGAACACCAGAGCAAAGCCCCGCCAATGTCACTTTCAGGCTGGCTAGACTGTGCTCCCCCTCCCAGGCTTCTTAGGAGGGTGCATGTGGCCTGCTGAATGGACTGCACTACAGACCGAGGTGAAGAGGGGCCAAATTGTGCCTCACCTGTGTCACCCCTTGCTGCCCATGGCCAGTGGCAATCTTGGGGACAGCAGTGATGATTTTGGCTGGTGCTCCTGTTCCTGAAGTCATGACCTTTGTGGTGATAATCGTGATGGGGGACTTGATGCCAGGACTGCTGGTAACACCTGCATTGGGGGAAGAGTTCAGAAGACAAGGCCTGTTGAGGGCATCCCACCTTCCTCATTTCCATTGGGATCCTTTTTAAAGCAGTTACCACTGCTGTCCCAATATTAGAACAAAACACTACTAATCAGAACCATACTCCCACCAGCTCCCTACAAATGTTAAAAAACAAAAGGTCAGGAGGTGAAGAGAACGGAAAACAAAAATAGGGACCATACTACATCCAGCCTCCATATCTCTTCCCCACTTTCATCTCCTCACTCAACAGCAGGGGTGTTCAGGAAGCTGTGTATTTACCTGTGGCGCCCGCCTGGGTGATAATGGCTGACATGGGGATGGTCTTGATGATGGTGGTTGTGCCAGGTTTGGTGGTGCTGGGGGACACGCTACTGATGCCCAGGATGGTGGGCTTGGTTCCTGCCCCACTAGCCTGTGTAGTGGTGATGATGGTTGTGGGCTTGCCGTCTGCTGATGTCACCAGCTTTAGGATAGTTCCTGCTGGCAGGGGCCCTTTGGTCTGAAAGGGAGAAGTTATAGATGAACAGAAACTGCCAGAAAGGAACATTATGTTCGGATACTCTAAGTAGCTCAGAGTATTCTGGATACTCTGAGTGATATGGCATCAGCAGGTCTTTGAGCCAATCTTGTACATGGGATCTTCTGTCCTCATGGCCTGATACCCATTCATAACTGAGGGCCTGAGTTTGGGGACAACTTCCGCAGCAGAGTAAGAGCTCACCTGGATGATTTGAGTCACAGGGCCTGTAGATGCTTGGCCTGTGACTGCTGAAGTCTGAACTGGTTTGGTCTGGACCACTGACATCACTTTTCCCAGATTGGAAATCTAAAAAGGAAGGGATGGAGCAGGCAGTGATGTGAAAACCAAACAAGGGCATGGCCTGAGCTGGGACTACTGGACCTAGCCCAGGGCAGCAAGTCACCAGTGGCAGTTGCATTAGCCTGGCAGCAGTTGCATACAGCCAGATGGTGCCTGTCACTCACCAGAGCACTGCCTCCTGGGACAGAGATGGGGCTCTTCACAAGAGTGATGGTCTTGGTGACTCCACCTACCACCGTGGTTACCACCTGGGCTTGCTGGGCCACTGTGACAGTCCCTGACTTGTGTACTGTGATGATAGGTCGGGTAGATGTGTTGGCAGCAGAGGACACAGATGTCCCCACCTGAGCAGCTGCAGTCTTCAGCATGCGAGTGGCTGGATTGCTCACCTGGAGAAGCAAAAATGAGTGATGAGCATGATGGTGACAGAATGGCTGTGGCTCTACTGGACAGCTTGGATGGCTGAGGAGCAAGAAAGCAGGTCTAACTTAAGGCTGATAGGCCCTAAAAGGTAACTGCATGTTCCATAGCTTGTGCCAGTACCGATTATGAAGCACTTGCCTGAAGGGTTGGTTCAAAGCCTGGAACAAATGACCACTGCTTGGTCAATCATGGTGACCAGAGGCTACAGGTCCCACAGCTGCAGGCTCAGAACCTGACTCGGAGCCAGTTCAGATAAATGCTCACCATGACAGGGGAGGAGGCCACTTTCACAGTGGCTGGAAGGGTAGTTGTGCCAGGTGTCACAGCCACAGTCTTGACAATGGTGGTACCTGCTGGAACACTCAGTACTGTGGGTGCTGAGGAAGGAGGGATCTTCTGTGTGGCAGCGGCAGCAGCAGCCAATGCAGCCATCCCACTCATCTGGGGGTTGCTGCCAATCACCTGTGGTGGGCACAGAGCATGTGAACTATAGAGGAGCTACTTACTGCCTCCCAACCTAGGGCTTCATGTATGTTAGGCGCAAACATCCTATCAACTGAGCTATACCTGTAACTCTAGAACAGATTTTTCCTTAAGCTGGACCACAGTCAAGGTAAGCCTAGCATATGCATGTAATCCCAGCTACTCAGGAGGCTGAAGTAGGAAGATTGCAAATTCTAAGCTAGTCTGAGCTACTTAGTAGGACCATGATTCAAAATTAGAATTTGGAGATGTAGTTCAGTCTGTATACTGTTTACCTAACATGTAAGGGCTCAGGGTTCTATCCCTAGCACTGCAGGGATAAAGAAAGAAAGACCAGAGTCAAAGCTAGGGATATAATTTAGTGTATACTTAAAAAACCCAACCCTGCACAAACAGCTATAGATTGAGACCCTGTGTCAAAAACAAACAAACAAACAAAAAAAAACAAAACGCAAACACAATGGATCAGATACAGCTCATTCTCATACACCTGGGTCAGACCCATCTAAACTCATCTTCTCCTCAGTACCCCCACCAGAAAGTTCACATTGAAAATACCCCAAGGATCGCATGGAATGTTAGGCCTTTTTGAGGCATTAACTTATTTTCAATGCAGCAGTACCTTATAAACAACAAAGACACATGATACACTACAGGAGCTGGTGAGATTCATTCATGCTAGGCAAGACCCCACCAACTAAGCTACATCTCTAGTCCCAGAACAGAAGATTTTTTTCAAAAGACTACATGAGAACTCTGTTTATGCCAGAAAGCCCTGTTCAATGACAGCTCCTCACCGTCCCCTGGGTGCTCTGTGTGGGCACAACCATTCGCACACTGGCAGGCAGGGAGGTCACAGTGACAGGGGCTTTTCCAGCCTGGCTGGCAGGTCGCATGGTGACCAGTGGGGTTCCTGCTGTAGCCTGAGGTCCAGTCACTTTGAGAACAGCAGGAACACCTGATGAGAAAAGAAGGCTGACCATCAGGTCCTCTTCCATGGTACCTTGCCATTCTGCCAAGTGTAGGCATATACTTAAGCCACTCCTTGACCCCCTGACCTGCTTGTGATTTTGTGTGGCTCATCTGTGACCTCAGCATGGTCCCCATGAACAGAACAGAGCACTCTCACTTCCCACTCCTCACCAATAACCCCGAAGCTAAAACCCACAAATGAACCAAGCAGCAGCCCCAATCCAGAAACTCAATGTCTTTGGGTGTAGGTCCTACCTTCAAATGTCCTTATTCCTTAGGGCTTACCTTGAGTCCTGGCTGCAGTGGGCACAGAAATGGAGCTGCCTGGCACTGTCGGCAAGACTTGGATGGTGGTGGTGCTTGGGGGTGCAGCGGCAGCCTGGGGCAGGAGTGTGATGCCTACTTGGGTCAGTGGCTGCACAGCAGGTGCAGCTGCTGCTGGCGCAGGGCTCTTGGGAGGGTTGGCAGGCACAGATGGGACTGGATTGGGAGTGGGGGAGGGGGCCGTAGCAGCCGTGGCAGGAATGTCGTATTTCTGGAGCTGTAGAAGGTAACTGTCGGCTGTTGCCACTGCACCCCAGCTAACCTCCAGTGAATTGGTGTTGGCTCGTACTAGTTGTACACGGGCTGGGGGTGGTGGCTTTTCTGTAATACAACACAATTGGTTAAGATAGAGAATGGGGAGGCTTCAGCAACGGTGATGTCAGTGGTGTAGCACCTTACCTGTCTCTAGATACCACAGATCCTTGCAGCAGACCTGGTTGTTCCAGGCTTTGCGATAGCCATCACGCCCACTCCAAATGTATAGGCGGGTGTTGATGGCAACTGCACAGTGGCCAGCTCGAGCACGGGGAATGTTATCTTCGAGTGTGTCCATCAGGATAGTCTCCCAGGACATGGTATCTAAGAGGTGGGCAGGTGCTGGAGGTCAGCAGGAAGGACAGAAACAACCTATCTCCTCGATTCCCAAGTTGCCCTGTTCTTTCATTGTCAGGGATGGGGAATTAAAACCAGGAAGTTATCAAAATACCAAACTAAAACCAAACAAAAATATGGCAAAAAGGAAAATTGAGCCATAAACTGTAAAAAAAAATATTTATAGCCCAAGGTTTAACTTAACCTTGCACATAAAATGATAAATCCAAAGGGGAAACAGTTTTTGGGAAAAATCAGTTAAGGGACCTTAAGAAAAAGCATGCACCCTCAAGGTAAGAGCAACATTGTTTGTATTTTTGTTTTGTTGCTTTGAGATAGTATTTCGCTATTGTAGCCCTGGCTGGCTTGGAACTCGCTGTGTGGATCAGGCCAACTTTGAACTCAAAGAGATTTACCTGCCTGGGCCTCCTGAGCGCAGACATTAAAAGTGTAGGCCATAGGAAAGATTGCGCGCCTCACTGTGGAAGGGCGGTGTGGAATGCCCTCCAAAGTTATAAGTGAAAAAGGCCAGATGGTCCTGTGTATGGCAGACTAAGATCGCAGAGCTACTGCTTGTATCAAAGGGACCTTGCAAAGGGTACCAGAAACTACCTCATCATCGCTTGTGCTTTTGCACTTTTGGTTGTCAGGCATGCATGAAGAGCCTATTAAAATTAAAAGGAGCACAAGGTATGGTGCACACCTTTAATCCCAGCCTTGAGAGGCAGAGGCAGGCAGATCTCTATGAGTTCAAGGCCAACCTGGTCTACATAGTGAGTTCTAGGCCAGCTGGGGCTACAAGGAGACGCTGTCTCAAAAAAATAAATAAAAATCAAAAGAAGCACTGCTTCAGAGTTCTCTACCCACTGACTACTTCTGTGGATTCTAGAAGGATCCACAAGCACAGCTTGGCTTCTCACACACCCCACAAAGCTCTTTGGACCCAGGAGGGCCACCCCTCCTTCTGACCACTCTAAGCCATACCCAGGTTGAGACAAGCCAGCGTGTTGGTACACTTCCACTCCTTCTCGTGTGTGGCCACTTTGACGTCATCCATGACAAGAGGCACCCAGCCACCAAATACATACATTCTGGGAAGATAAAGAAAAAGCAAGAGAGGACTGCAGAGAAGTACCAAGCTAGAGGCTATCTCTCTCTTTCACCCAGAACTTTCTGAACATGCTCAGTTCTGTAGATGGTCCTAGGGGTCCCCTGTGGATGCATGAAAGGCTTCTGACATGCCTTGATGTCTCAAGTCATCACAGGAACTGTGTCATCGTATGGCAGGAAAGCACTGTTAAGACTCGTCTAAGCTGCACCTGAATCTCCCTGGACCCCAGACCTTGGCATTTACAAAGAATACCATTTGTGTGAGGATCTACAGGAGTCTACGGTCTTGATGGGATAGAGCCTAGCATGCCCAGAAGGGTCCCCGCAACCCTCAATCTAACTAAGCTATGTTATAATAAGGTGTAGTATGGGGCTGAATACTAGACCTGCCAGAAAGTAGCCTCTTTGAGACTCAGGGATGGTCAACGAAAGTGAATGAGAACCGTTCAATGGTGGGGGGGCAGTTTGGGCCAGGTAAGAGAAGAGCAGGCACTCACTTGTTTCCTATGGTGGTTGCAGAGTGGAGACTTCGAGGAAGGGGCGCTACCCCACTAAGGCTGGGCTTATTCCATGTTAGCGTCTCTGCAGAGATAGAGAGGTTACCCATGCTAGATCAGACATCATGGTCTTAGAACTTGGGGAAGGCAGGCTCTGAACCAACGACATAAGAACTGCACTCATGTCTCCTTGCAGCTCTCAGCGGGCACTCTGCTCATTGCCCTAGCAGCCAGATTTCAGCATTCCTCAACTTATTTGGATGATCTTGGCAAGAGGATTTCTTCTAAAATGTACCAGGCACCTGCTCTAAGGCAGCACTGCCCCCAGAAATGAGGGAGAGATGCCAAGCTCACCCCAGCCACTCCTTTGCACTTCTACTTCCCATAAAGCATTTCATCCCATACCACTCAGCACTGGACAGATCACTTTAGGAAACACTGTGCTACTGGCGTTTCACTCATGCTCAAATGTTTGGGAGTGCTGATCCACAGAGCAACATAACCAAGATCTACTCCCACCCCCATCAGTTTTAATCATTTCAATCATCTTGTTTCCTATCCAATATCAAGAACAGAAAGAGATAAGTGGGATACAAGGTCCTCATGGGCCCCATCTCACCAGGCAATGATGGTCAGTCTTAAGGCCAGCTACTCAGAGGACCTACTTTGCTCTGGAGATATTGGACCAGCAGCAGCTTCTTACCTATGTCCAGGGTCCAGAGATCCCCCAGTCTGCAGCCACTCATCCCTCCATAGATGACCAGCTTGGATTTCTTGTTATCTTTTTCAGTGTAAACCACAGCAGTATGTGACTCCCGGGGTGGAGGCAGGACCCCATAAGTGATGGGGATGTCCCAGGCTACCACTCCAGAGCCTGGTCGTAGTTCGAGGATATATAAGTCATTCAGATACCTGATGAAGAAAAATCAGTCATAGTAAGCCTTGAGTACATGCACCAGAGGCCTCATTGGGTAACTCAGCAAGCTGTGGACTCGCCAGAGCATGGGAAGTGCAAAGGTCATGGGAATTCCATACTCTTCTACCCTTGCCCCTGAAGAAAGGGCTGCTAGAAGTTTGCCAGGATGAGTCCAATGGGAGCAATGAGCAGAGTATGTGTAAAGGTATAATGGTAGCTTCAAGTTCAGACTCAGTGCAGGCCCCTACAGGCAGCCATGCACACAAAGCCAGGCATTATACCCAGGCCTTCCTAGGGCAAGAGGGAATCAGCTTGGAACTACCTCCAGACAGCAAGGCCCTTGGCCACAGGCCTTGGAAAATACCCATCAGGAAACCTGAAGGCAAAAAAGGCTGCAAAGGAAGCAACTAGTTCTAATTTGAGTCTCAGAACAGGGACCAGGCCAAGACAAAGTAGGCTTCTACCTGCTGCCCAGCTTCTTCCTCCAAGGCCTACTCAGAGGTTCAGATTTCAAAGTTGGGAACCTCCTAAGAAAGGACTGAGGCCATTCTCTCATTGGCATCCCAGCATAGAAGAGAAACATGGCTGTAGTGGGGTTGGCTGGCACATCCAACTTTAGGATTCCAGTAAGCCTTGTGCCTGGGACAAGCAGACCCACCCGGATGGGGTTCTCCAGAGAAAGGATAAAACCTTACCTCGGAATGTTGTTCTTGGGGTCCTCACTATCATTGGCCAGACCCCCGAACAGGTAGCATTTGTTGCCCACAAGGGAGAAGCTGTGCCCAAGCCGAGGACACGGGGGAGGCCCGTTTTTGGGCGTCTTTGCCTTGAGTCTCTTCCATTCCCAGCGACTTGCCTGCAAAACCAAGACTTAGAGATTTGACTCCCAAGATGAGAAGGCTGCTGGTGGGGGAGGGGGTGGGGTTTCTGGGGCAATTTGTGACATGATGAGACTGTCTGGGGCAAGGGAGCACACTGCTGGAGCAGGCCTAGCCAAAGACATTTGGCCCTACTCTCTCCTCTGACGCTATCCCAAGTTCAGAACAGCATCGGCAAGACTGTTGACTGGTCCCTTCCACTGCCTCTCCTTTGTTTTAATCCTTAACCTACTATCACAAGGATCACTATGGGAAGTCCCAAGGGACCCAAGGCAGTATGAGAACCCAGGCCCACAGAGGATCTATGTTATCACCTGCAGCTCATAGAGGTCGTTGCTGTATTTCCCATACTCCACCATCCCACCAAACACCAGCAGGCGAGTACCGTCACACACGAAGCCATAGGCTGCACACCCTGGAGGGATATCCCCTCTCACAGCTGGGATGAACCACTGGTTGGTTGCTGAAAAACCAAAGGAAACAAAAGTCAAAACACCCAGGAGCTTTTAGAACCTGAGCCCTGCTCCCTATTCTTCTTATTCCCCAAGTGTTATGCCCCCTACTCCTATCCTAGTCTTCAAATGCAGCCAGGAAAGGAGAGGCTGCACCAGCATACTCCTTGGGAGCGCTACCACCCCATATCTCCAGCTATGCTAGACAAGCCATCTGCAGAGCCCTGGCTTTCAGACTAATATACAACTGCAATGCTTCTCATCAAGGTCACCTCAGCAGGCAGGAAGTAAGTCACCACCAAGATAATTCATCAGCCTCTGGGAATCTGACGGCTGACTTCCTTCCCCTACTGCTCACAGGATCATCACAAACAAACCTCTGTACCCAAAATGTCTTCTAGGCCCACAGTCCCATGCACTACCGGGTCAAGACAGCCAGAGCCCACAGCTGCACCAGTGAGTGGTCCCAGAAACAGAGATTGCTACAGCTGATGCTCTCTTCTATGCAGTCAGCTGACAGACAAGGAATGGAGTACACAGCCAATCCCAGCTTGCTGGGTTGAGAGAGCTAGAGGCAAGAACTGGACTCTGCTTTGACCACCCAGGCCTTGCTGTCTCTGCCTGACTGCTCTTGTCTCCTAGGTGATGGTCCATACACTACGTGGCAGAGTTAGTGCCCCTCCCCTCCCCACACTTACATCAACCTAGAACATTCTCAAGCTCGAGGTGGCAACCACAGCAGTTTCTATGACAGAAATTTCTCAAAAGCCCCTCACACGTCTAGCTAGGGGTCAGGTGAGGTGAGGAGGTCACCAAGAAAGGGTAAAATGGACCTCACCTAGGACAGTATAAGACTGTCCAACCTACAGCTAGGATGGCGCCCTTCCCCAGACTGCCTAGCAGCCTGCCATTCACCTAGGCTCTTGTGTCCCTCATAACTGCAGTGCCAGGAGTTCCTGCAATGTGACAGGGAAAAATGTCCTGTCATGACAAAATTATTTAAGGGACAAACCTCACCCTCTTCCCCTATCACCAAAAAGCCCATATTGAGGCCCAGAGGTAGATCTGCTGCCTGTGCATGTCAGTCTAGTGAGATCTAAGACTGGTAGTGGGAAGGAGCTAAAGCCCTGGCTCTGGGGCAGGGGGCTGCAGTTGTGTTAGGGAAAGGGCTTCAAAGTCAGGACTGGTCCCTCTGGGAACTGATGGGAGGTCAGGGTATGCATTGGGGGAGAGAACATAGGAGGTTTCTGTGGACCAGAGTCTAGGCTACTCACTGTTTCTCAACCAGATTCCCCCACACAAAGAAGATAGGATACTGTGACAGAGTAAGGAATAAATGTTTGACTTGGAAACCAAAAGTGTTGTAAAAGAGAGGAAAAATACTTGTTTTGTTTTTCCTTTATTCCAATACACTTGCGGAAAGGTGTCAGCCCCCCCCCATTCATAAAAGGCCACAAGGCTCAACAGGCGACTGTACCCTGCCATGCCTGAGGGGAGGAGGGCCTCTCTAGCTCCCACCTGATAAAATGTGCACCTGGATACTGGGCTCCCCAATCCCCATCCTCTCTGCCATCTTCCTTCTGGAGCAGTGCAGCTTGTACTGCCTGTGTACATGAGTGCGTATGTGTCCACACACCCAGATGCTGCCTCAGCCTCTCTCATATCTCTCTTGGTCTCGTTCTCATTCAGAGTTCAAACCTGAACCAAGAAACGTAGGACTTTTCAACACTGAGGCAAATCAATCTTGTACAAATTGGGAGAAATAGTCTCAAGGTTAACCTGGGCTATATTAAGACCTTGTCTCAAAAAACAAAACAAAACAAAACAAAAAACCCCGAACGAAAAACACCCACCCACTCATCAACCAACCAACCAACGAACAAACAAACAGACCTGCACAGGTCAGGAAGGGAAATTACTCACCTGAGGTCAAAGTAAAACCAACAGAGATATGAACACCCAGTCCCTCCCTCAACAGGGAATTCTTGTGTAAGGCACATAGGCAGGTAGCCACGAGGCAAGGTTTGGGCAAAAGCTAACAGGAAATGGGATTCTCCTATAGCTTTCCTATCATACTTTGCAGAGCTTATACACCCAAGCTGGCTGGGCCAGAAATGAACTGTGATACTCCTGGGCTATGGAGACTACTGGGTCCTTCTATGGTGACTGATCCGATTCTAGAATGTTTCTTGCAAGGCAGGGGCCTTCCCCAACTCCCATCAAGAGAGTCTGTCAGGGAGTGCAGCTTCTAGTATGGAGATAACACTGCTTCTCCTCATTTCACCCACAAATCTCGGTTCCACCCTGAGAGAGAACAAGCATGTGAGTTCCACTTCTGCTCTCCGCATCTTATAAATCTAACAGCTGCTCTGTTTTGCCCCTCAATCATGCAGTGGGGTATCATGTAAGCCAATCCCTGGGGCCCTCATTCAGGATGATATACTCTGGCATGTCCCTGGCCCTCCCAGGAGAGGGGAATTTGGGCAAGGGGGACCCATCTGTTTGCAGGTTCCTATGTGAGAGAGATGCCCTTTACCTTCCCTTTCAGCAAAACAGATGTCAGCTGTCCCACCGTTCTTGAGGAGTTTCCAACTCCATTTGTAGCTGTCGCCTCCCCATCACTACTTAAGAGACGGATGCTCATGCAGCAGAGAACACAACACGGCAGAGTTCACCTTCCTTTCAGTTTGCTCTGTCACACCAGAACCATCATTTCTGGTGGCAGGCCCTGTGCTGGGAGGCACAGAGCAGCCTGTCTCCTAGTTCTCATCTGGTAGGGAGGCTGTGCACTCTTCCTGCAGTGATGGGAAGAAAACTGCCAAGGGCCTGGAACCATGCCCACTTGGGAGCACAACAAGGGTAATGAAGGGCACAACTGAAGAGGGCTTCTCTGGAGAAAACATTTGAGCCAGAGCCTTGAGGAGCAAACAGGCTTTCCTGAGCAGTCAAACTAACTGACCAATCAGTAAGTGACTCTAAGGTCTGTACTCTGGCCCAATTCTACTACTAGCTAGTGCTGTGCTTTTAGACCTGCCACTTCCCCTCTTGGACTCCAATTTCCTCATGTGCAGAAAATAGGAAGTCCCACTAGATATTTCCCAAAATTCCTCCCAAAGAGCCTACGGAGGGGCTGGCGATGTGGCTCTGTGGCAAAGCACTTGCCTAGCACACACAAGGAAGGGCCTATTGCAGCCCCAGCCCTGTAAAAAAAAAAAAAAAAGTCTATGACACCCAATATCCATGAAGCAAAAGCAGCCTGGACAAGGGAGCACTCACACACCCAGCTGCAACACACCCCACCCCAAACAGGCTCTGGATCCCTGGGCTTGAGGCCTCTGAGTAATCTGCTTCTCTTCAAGCAAATAAAATTCCCCGAGAACCAGGACAACAGCTACCTCAAGACCTACCAAAGGCCAGTAAAGGGAACCTCAGCTCCTGCACTGGCTCCTACCAGAGGTAAGGCCATGTGTGCATGTGCTCACTCTCTCTGAACACACACACACATACCCTTCAATAGTATACAACCCCCCCCACCCTGCTGCATAGCTGACCAAAACAACCAAGTGCACACACGCACTTGATTTTTTTCCGTCCTTGCAAAGAGGGTTGCTTCCAGACCAGCCTGCTCCTCAAAAGGTCGTTCTGAGGTCTGATCCTGAAGAAGCAAAGTGCCAGAAGCAGAGGCAAGCAGAAGAGGCAGCTGTGAGGAGAATGAGCAGCAGGGGAGCACCAGGACTGCTAGAATGTGGGATGTCACCCTGGGTATTCATGCGGTGGGTTTACTCTTAGGTGGGGACCAGGGAAGCAGGGTCTGCTAGTTGCTGTCTCAAGAAATCATCTAAGAAATCGATCTTGACAATTTCTAAACTATTCCCCTGAAAGACTCCAGGGCTTTGCTGTAGGCAGTCTTTGCAAGACTGGCTACCTGCTAACATCCAACTCCTCTTTGCAGAATGGCGGTAACAAATTAACACCAAAGTTGTCAATTGGCTACAATAAACTAGTGAATATGTAGAGGCCGCAGGAAGCCAAGGCAGTAGCCAGCAGTGGACTTTGGAGCTGACTGTAATTAGGCCTCTGCCCTACTTTCTAAAATTATATTTCCCTGCCAGAAAGCCTGCTCCAGGCCTTAGGAGAAAGCTGTTCCAAGGAATGGATAAGGTACTACTGCTCCTGTCGAGGGCATCTCTAAAACCAGCCCTACTACTGGCTACAATGCACCACTGCCCTTGGCTTTAGCTTACTGGGCTAATTCCTGCCACTGCAGCTGCCTGGACTGGTGCAAGCATCACTAACACCCCTACAGGGGCCCTGAGAAGGCCCGGCTCTCTAGAGGCAACAGGTGCTGTGCGACAAGGAACACAGAGGGTCATGACCAACCTACCATCCTTTCAAAATCAACCTGGTAGGGGGACTAGGACAGAGGTGTGTTGGGGGAGGCGGGGGAGGCTACCAACCAGGGGCCTGGCTTCAACCCCTGTCCCACAAACGACCCCAGATCCAGCTGTCCTGTCTGCTTCCTATAGCCCCAGAGCAAGGAAGAAGTGTGGGGGGGGGGCGTCAAAAAAATGGGCTTGCTGCACCCATGCAGTCTACCCTCCGTTCCAAGAGGAGATACCCAGGGGCCCCCGTAAGGACGAGGTGCTGAGAAGTTGGCAAGGAGGAAGCACTGCAGGATGCACCTCCTGCTGCAGGGGGCAGTTTTCAGCCTACCACAGGCCAGAAGGCCAGCTGTCCGGCCACATTCGTGTTCCAGGCTCTCACCTGGACACAAGCTGCACTTCAGCCCAGCACGTCCGAGCTCCTCTTGTTTAAGGCAAGGCTATATAAAGGTTTCTGGGGGCCAGCGAGCCGTCAACTGGCAGCTCAGCCAAGCTAAAGTCCAAGATAGGCGCTAGGCGTGCAGCGTCAAGAAGGCCACAGGGGACGGGTACCGACGAAGCCGTCCGCCCTAGAGACAGCAAGGGTACCCCGGCGAGGAACAACATGTGGCTCCCGGAAGGGAGGGGGCCGAGGCCAGCGCGCACATCAGCCATACCTGCAGAGAGGCTCCTCCCAATTTGTAAGGGCTTGGGTGGGGGTAGGCACGAGAAGGGGCAGGTTAACCCTTCACTCGAGCTGCTAGGCCTGCTGCGGGACAAAACTCAGCTGCTCAACTGGAAAGCAGCATATCTAGAAGCGATTTTTAAAAATCAACGAAAACGAACGCTCGTAGACGTAAATATCAGAATACGGGGAATAGGGTGGGGGGTCGTGCAGCCACCGTGCCATCCGTCCGCCGCGCTAGGGTCTCTAAGGTTGTTCAAACTCTGCCCCACCCGGTTACTTCCCTCTCTAGGGGCAGAGACCTGATGGGTGATCTAAACATTGTCATTTCTGTGGGCTCTAGGGATGGGGACGAGCGGACTAGGCGCGGGCGGGCGGGGAGAGCACTCCGCCTGTGCCTCAGGAACACATCCGCTGCCGCGCCAGCCCCAGCCCGCCGGCTAACGGTGTACGTCTGAAGTCACCGTCGCCGGCGATATCCCCTCCCCCTCCCGTCGGACTCCGGGGTTTCACTAAGTAACGCAGCCACCTTCAACGCAGGAGAGTCCGGGGGTGTAGACGGGGGAGAAGAGCAGAAGAGTGGGGAGAACGGGCAGAACACGAGGGGAAAGAAAGCACACACGGGGGGGGGGCAAGGCAGACGATAGGGAGGAGAGCGGAGAGGGGAAGGAGAGCGAGATGGAGAGGGGCTCGCAGGACTACGCGGGCTCTGCACTCACCAGTGTTGTACACGTGTAGCTCGTCCACTATGCCTTCGTTGCCGCCTCCGAACACCACGATGAGCTCCTTGATGGCCACGGCACGGTGGCCGTGGCGGGGTCGGGGCACCGGACCCGACCAGCCCACCACTCGCTTCCAGCGAGGCTGCAGCAGCACCGCTGGCAAGTTGGCGGGGGACACCGCTGAAGCCATAGTTCCGACTAAGGGTGCGAGGGGAAGGTGTCTCTGAGCGGGAGGGAGACCCTTAATTCCTCACACACCCCCTTTCGTCTAAGGCAGGTCTCTTAGAGAAGCGGCTCCTCACACAGCGGTGGACGACTCTATGGAGGCCGCCATCTTAACTACCCTCCTTCCCTTTGGCTCTTCTCCTCCTACTCACTCGACTCGCCTCCTTAAAAGCTGCTCGGCACTGTTGAGCACCTAGGCCCGAGAAGCTGGAGGCCACTGAGTGCCGCTCCCCTAACTATTTGTCCGGGTGTTCTCGCTCAGAAGCTCGGGCAGGAGGCTCTGGGAGCCGCCATCTTGAGCCGCCTCTCTCTCCTCCCTTCCTCAATCGTAGCCCTCCCCCGCCGGAAATGGCGGAGCCCCGGCCCGGTTCCCACACCCCCAAGTGCCTAGCGCTGGCTGGCTTCCGGGGCGGGTGGAAAAGAGCCACCAGCGCCGCGATCGTCCCAGACCCGCCGGCACTCAGACCACAATTGTGGAAGCCGCCATCTTGCGACCGTCCCTATTCCCCGCCCAGCACCGACTGCAGAGTAGCCCCAACGTTCCTAAGAAATAAAGGCACGTCAGAGGCTGGTGGAACCTGCTCGAATTCTCAGGGTGGGGATGGGGCTGGTCGGGGGCCCCGCACCGTACGGCCCGTGGAGCCTCGCACCTCTCCCTCGAGTCCGCCTCAGTTGTTCAGGCTGCGCCTGCCGCCCTGGGAGCCGCCATCTTGAGACTAGCTTCCCCTTCCCCCCTATTCTCTTCCTCCTGGATCAGTTCTTCCAGAGCAAACCTAACGCAAGGCAGCGTCCGATCCTCGCTTCCCTTTTTAGGACTCTTTCCCACAGGAGCCACTGCAAAGAGTCAGAGTTAAGCCCTGCAGTGACAACTGTACGGCAGGAGGAGCGGTAACGGCAGGGCGCTCATGCCGCCTCCCTGGGAGCAGCCATCTTGTGTGAAGAAGTAACAACTAAACATGGCGGCGGTCGGGCGAGAGGGTGGAGTCAAGTGACTCCACCACCCCGCCCTCGCCCGGCTCCGCCTCTGGGTCCAAGCCTCTTAAAGGATCCAAGTCTCGTAAAGAAGGAAAGCTACTTAAAGAAACCTTGCGCTGTCTGGTGGCGGGCAAGCTGGCGCTTCTGCGCAGGCTAGAACTCGAGCTGAGTTCGGGTCAGGTGCAGTTGCGCCCCACCCTGCGTCCCCCTCCCGTCACCGCGTTTCCATGCCTCCGCCCTGGGAGCCGCCATCTTGCCACTTCCCCACGCCCGGCCGTCTGCGGGCGTCAATACTGACTTTCAGCACAAAACAAAGATGGCGGCGGCATCTAGGGATGCCCGGATGAGAAAGCAAACTCCCTCAGCCTCGCTTGCCCCGCCCCCCCTCCTGGGAACTGTCCTCCGGGCCGCTATAGGAACACATGGCCGAGTGTTGGTTTTTAACTAGCGGTGAACACAGGCGCACATGGTCGTTAAGGGTGGCAGGGAGGGTATACACTGCGATTGCACCTGCGGCTGGGAGGCATGTTTTCCCGCCGCCTCTGGAGCCCGGCCAAACGTGGGGAAGAGGGGAGGGAATGGGCGGTGACGTCTAGAACGCACAGGGGCGGAGCCATATCAGGCTCCCAGGCTCCCAAGCTCCCAGGCCTGCCAGCACCGCCCTCAGGGGCCACCGCCTCCACCCGCGCCCGCGCCCGCGCCCGCATCCTAGCGAACTAGAGGCTTTGCGCGCTCCGGACTGCCGCGCGCCTGGAAGCCCCAGCCCTGCGGAATAGGAAAGCTGCGGGCACCCGAGCCCGGAGAGCGTAGGAGTGGCCTGCGCCTTCGCGTCACCTCGCGTCACCCCGGCCCGCCTGCTTCCCAGGGCTCCACACCCCGCCCTTGCGCAGGCGCACCGCTGCCTTACGGGTCCGCCCTTTTTCAAGATTTGAATTTCCCCCAGCCTAGCGAGGAGAAGCAAAATACCCGGATGGTGAGCGCTGGCCTTTTCGCGCCAATATTGTAAGTTCACATAACAATTCTGAAAGGAGGGTTGTCGGCATCACCCCCACATTCAGAGTCTCCCACGAGGCCGCAGAGGCAACGCAGTGTCGTCACTGACATACGCAGAATGTAGCACAAGGGTCCCAACCTGATGTTCCAGAGTCTGTATCAAAAGCAGATTTCTCCATCTTAGTTTATCTTTATTCCATTTTTAGTTTCATTAACCTCTAGTGGAAATTTAGAATTTCCTGTAATTACATATGTAAGGAGCAGGGCACAAAGTATTAGCCACACCTATGACTTTGTCATCAAAGGAAATGCACAGATCGTTACAGATCCTGTAGCTGTTTTACAGGTCTAGAAATTAAATTACAAGGTTTACTGGCAGCCTGAATACTTTTAAAAAAATATTTTTTATTTTGTGTGTATGGGTGCATTGTCTGCATGTAAGTGCACCAGTCTCGTGCAATGCCCGAAGTCAGAAGAGGGCCTCAGGTTCCCTGCAGCTGGAGTTACAGAGGGTTGTTATCTGCCATGCCGATGCTAGGAATCGAACTGTGTCATCTGCAAGAGCACCCAGTGCTCTTAACCACTGAGCCATCTGTTCAGTCCCAGTCTGAATACTTAGAACTTTGATGTTACTGGATTGAACCAGCCAGTAGATCTTGAAATTAGTAATAAGGCATGCATATGACCAGCTTACACTTTTCCAAAAATATGTAATAATCCTCTTTCCACGTGTTTATTTAGTAATTCTTGGCCTTAGTTTACTCAATTGTAACTACTTCTTTGGCAAAGGCCAGAGAAAAGTGCCTGCTTATATGGCTGCGCCACCAACTGCTGTATGACCTTGGTCAGTCACTTTTCTGGTCCCAAGCCCCTCAAATTCAGAAACCACTGGTTCCTCTGGGATGCTTGGGCTTGAGGGTGGTGTAGGCTGTCCAAATCTTCTGGGAGTTTATCATGTTATGTCTCCATATCTGCAAGAAGATAGCAGGGGAGGGTCATAGGGCACAACAAACACCTGTCCCAAATGCTGCAGGCCAAAAACCACTACCTCTGTTCCACTGCCTAGAGGTGACAGTGGCTGCTGCTGAAATCTATATAGCCGCAGGGAATAGGATCACGTAAAGAACACATTTTATGAAGGAAGCTCTGTAGCCAGATGTAGTGGTGCATGCTTGTAATCTCAGCACTTGGGAGGTAGAGACAGGAAGATAAATTTGAGGCCAAGTTGGGCTACATAGCTAGTTCCTGTCAGAGAAGGAGGAAAGAAGGGAGGGAGGAAGAGGCAAGGATAGATTGTCACACTCTGCAGGATTTTCCCAAAAGACCCAAAACCTAAGAGCCAATGCTGTGAGCCTTCCTTGCCAGGTACTAAGAGGAAGCTGTGAAAGACTGTAGATCAGGAAACAAAGTCATAGCAGTTCAGGACTACAGGGAGCTAAGCTGCACAGTCACCAACCTGGTTTTCCTGGAGGACTTGGGAAGTTGGTTTTATTGCATGTCACTTTCATTTTGGACTCAAGTGGACTCTGATCCTATAGCAGGAAAGAAGAGTTGCTTTCCACACCCTTCCTGAATCTCCTCCTTTATCCACTTGATAGTGTGACTCGTGTCCCCAGCTCATAACTCTGCTTCTTGGAAAACAGAAGAGTCAGGCTAATTTGGGTGGCATGGGGGGTCCCAGATGAGTACAAGGAAGGATGTAGAGACACTAGGTGGGATCACAGCTACTATCCCAGCTGCAGCCAGAATCTGAATGGGAAAGTGCCCATGAGGAAATGATGGCCGTGTTGAGGGTGTGAGCAGGCCAGATGCAATGGCCAGGAGCAGAAGGCACAGAACTTCTAGAACCACAGAATCTCATTCTGTATACTAAAATTGTTTTCTATTCTTTTTTTTTTTTTTTTTTTTTTTTTTTGAAAAATTGCATGGGTCTTGTGCTTGCTGTCACCACTGTTGTAAGTTGATATGATCAAGTTCTCAGCTGCCGGGAAAATACTGTTTCCTTGTAATCATTCCACCACCCCTGGCACTTACAGTCTTTCTGTCCTCTCTTTCACAATCATATTGAGCCCTGGGTGGTACAGGTTTAATATAGGAGTCCTATCCAGGGACACAGACACCTTAGTCTCTTATTCTCTACATTTTGAGACAAGGTCTCATAGCCCTGGCTGGCTTCAAACTCACAGACATCCTCCTGACTGCCTGGGATTAAAGGGGTGTGTCACCACACCCAATTCAGAATCTCATTCTGGCAGGAAGACAGAGCTGGCTCTAAGGAGCTGGCAGGGATACATGTGGATGGCACTTTGAATCTAGCCAAAAGGTTGGCTGGAAGGGATATGATGGGATTCAGGGGCCCTCAGAGCATAGACCATATTAGCAGTAGCTTGAGGGTGAGAAGCCCAGAGCAGGGCTGGCTCCCAGACATGGAGACTTCCTAGCTAGGGAGAAGAGAACAGAGGTGGGTAGAGTCCAAGGTGCCCTATGTTGATAAACAAGAGGATGCAGATTCAGGGTGATGGCTTCAGTTCCCTGGTGGCAATGGGTTTGAGAAGGCAGTGGGCCCCTCAGATGTTGGAACTGGTGGTTCTCCTCAGCAACAGATGCTCAAGGCAAGCAAGTTTGGCCTGAGGCCCAGCAGCCCTGTCTCCAGAAAATCCAGGAGGATTCCAAGGCCTGTCAGAGAAGTTAAAGAGCAAATGGGATTGGCGAGAGGGTATGGAAGGAGAATAAAAGCCAAGCAGTGGCTCTGTGTGGAGCTACAACTTAGAGGAAACTAGCAGCTCTCTTTGGGGGACATTGGAAGAGGATCAAAGCTTTCATGTGTGCCCTACTGTAAACTTCATTGGACATTGGGCCTCAAAATTGCACAGTACTTGCTCATGACTATAATCCCAGCACTTGGGAGGTTGAGGCACGAGGATGGTAAGTCGGATAATAGCTTGGACTACATAGGGAGACCTTGTCTTAGAAACAAACAAACTATATAGTTATATAGTAATAAGTATTCTAATGTATGAGAACCCATTCTGTGGTTGGGCTGAGAGTGCAACTCAGTGATAAAGCACGTGTCTAGCATGGATGCACGAGGCCTCGAATGCCAGTCACACCTGGACCAGTTCCATACACACAACAAGGCACTGTTAGTGTCCACGTTTTATTATCTATGTTTTTATTTATTGTTGCATTATTGAAGATTGAATCTAGGGCCTCATATAACTCTAGGAAAACATCATGCCGCTGAGCTACATCTCCAGTTTTGGGTTTTTTATGTTGAGTCAGGTTCTCACTGACAGATTGGCCTTCCGTTTTCAGGTCCACTTCAGCCTCCCTGTTCTTTGGAATTATAGGTATGAACCAAGAGGCTAGGCTGTTTTTTTTCAAGTTGCAGTTTGTTAAGTAGAGATAAGAGATAGCACATACACAGTGCAGAATTGAGGGCCATGGTAGAGGAGGTGACAATGTGGCTGTTAGGAAAAGGACAATAAATAATAAGCTGAGTTTGGAAGCACATGTATAATTCCAGCACTCAGGAGTCTGAGGCAGGAGGATTGTTGCAGGTTTGAGGCCAGCAGCCTGGGCTACACAGTAAGACTGTCTCAAAAATAATAATAAAATTAAAAAAAACTGAGCATGGTGGCTCATGCCTGTAACCTCAGGAGACTGGTACAGGCAGATTATCACAGTTTGAGGCTAGCCGGGTCTATATAATGAGCTTTAGAACAGCCTGGACTACAAAACGAGACAGTGTCTCAAAAAAACAAAAACAAAACAAAAAATCCCACAAAACCAACAATAACAAAAACACCACCAACACAGAAACAAAAACCAAGGAAAAGACATGGGTGCAATGCTTCAAACAAGAGCTGCCAGCTTGCATTTTTTTTTTTCTGTCTTTTTGAGACAGGGTCTCCCTATAGCCATAGCCGGCCTGGAATTCGCTATGGAGACCAGGCTGGCCTCTATCTTACAGAGATCTGCCAGCCTCTGCCTCCCAAGTGTGGAGATTAAAGACTTGAGCCACCACATTTTATAAGTGAGAAAATTGAGACCTCCAATGGTTCTGGCCCATGGTCACATGGCTGGTAAGGGGGAGAGCCAGGGCTGGAATGCACATAACCTGGCATCAGGGTACAGTGAACTTGAGTCCATCTCCCACCCCATGTTTTTGATCTCTTGACTGTGAGTCATTTTCATTTCTCACTGGGAGTGGTGGTACAAGCCTATAGTCCCAGTACTTGGGAGACAGAGGCAGGAGGATCACAGTGAGTTTATCAGGCCATTCTAAGCTACAGTGTGAGAACCTGACAAAAATCAAAACAAGGACCTGTGGGTATGATCAAGATATTTGCATAAACTGGGAGTGGTGAGATCCAGGCTAGCCTGGCCTATAGAGTGAGTTCCAGGCCAGCTGGGGATACAGGGCAACTGTCTCAAAAAATCAAAATAAAAAAAATCAAACCAAAAAAGATGCATTGTATACATGTGTGAAATTGTCAAAGAATAAATAAAAGGTAAAAAAACAAAAGAACAAGGTCTGGTGAGATAGATGACTTACCATTTGCCTCCAAGCCCCATGACCTGAGTTAAATCCCTGGACCCATCTGGTAGAAGGAGAGGATTGACTCCCACAAGCTTGCATCTGACTCTGTGTGTGTGCATGCAAACACACAATAAGTAAATTTATTTATTTGTAAAATAATTTTTAAAGCCAGGTATGGTGGCACATGCCTTTAATCCCCACACTCGGGAAGGCAGAGGCAGGCGGATCTCTGTGAGTTCAAGGCCAGCCTTGTCTACATAGCAAGTTCCAGGCCAGCTGGGGCTACAGGGAGACCCTGTCTCAAAAAGACCAAAAGATTATAATTACTTTTTTATGTGTATAAGTGGATTGCCTGCATGTATGTAAGTGCATCCATGTCAAGCAGTGCCTGCAGAGGTCAAAACTGGGTGTGGGATTCCCCTGGCACCTGAGTTACAGATGGTTGTTAGCTGCCCTGTGGGTGCTGGGAATCAAACTCAGGACCTTGGTAACAGCAGCCAGTGCTCTTTACCACTGAGCCATGTCTTCAGCGCCACACTCACAAAATTTAAAACAAAACAAAAAACCCACATTGCCTCAGGTTCTGACTGAAGGAAGTGGAAGTGTTGTCATGGGCCCAGAAAGTAGGTCATTTGGGACTCAGCCCTTTGGGAATGACAGGGGGAAAATTCTCACTGTCCTCCCCGCTGTGGCCAAGATTCCCAAACTCAGACTATATCCAGTGGTATTTGGCTTAAAAAGGCCTTGAGGCCAGCCTGGAAACTTTCACACTTGGAATCCCACCAAAGGGGACTGTGCTAAATTGTAATGTGGACCTGGGAAAGGTTGAGGGTTTCACACGTAGTAACTTTAAAGCAACTAGGACCATAGGCAGAATTTTATAGTCCATAGATGAAAAAGACTGGTTTAGGAGCCAGGAGAGACAGATACACAGTACCTAGGAAGCCAGAACTTCCAGAGTCTTCAAGAAGCCCTGAGCAAAAAAGGTGAAAACACTGTGGAAGGGTTTCACTTTTGGTTACTTTCTTTTTTTGGTGAAAATTGTTGGTGGATCCTGAGGCTGAGAATTGGGAAGATGGAGGCTCTTTTTTGGATGTTTTGTTCTAACCACATTCTTCTTATAACCACAAAGGAAAAGCACACCAATCCTATCCTCGTACCAGCCAATCAGGAGAACTCCTGCCTTCAACCAGCATACTGCTGCCACTCTGGGGCAAGGTCACAGCATCTACGGAAATCACAGGGACCTCTTCCTGCAGGCTTAGCTGGGACGTCCACACGTACTCTACAAGGGCGTTTATCTGAATCTGAGAAGAACAGGACCATGGCCATTCTTCTAAGCTCTCTACCCCCACCAAATATGAAGCCAGAGTGGGGGCAGGCCTTCTTCCATGTGGCCATGGCCACGTGCCTCTGTGTGGCTACCATCTGTATGGGCATTTTTGACAGCGTCTTTGTGGAAGTGGGCTATGAGCACTATGCCGAAGCCCCAGTGGTCAGCCTGCCCACCTTCCTAGCCATGCCCTTTAACTCGCTCATTAACTTGGCCTACATGCTCCTGGGAGTGTACTGGCTACAAAGAAATGCCAGCATCCCTCAATACCCCACAGACCTATGGAGGGTTCGCTACCTGAAGGATGTCTTTGCCAGCATGGCCCTGATCTATGGCCCTGTTCAGTGGCTGCGGATCTGGACCCAGACACACTCCACTGCAGTGCTTGACCAGTGGCTCACTTTGCCCATCTTTGCATGGCCAGGGGCTTGGTGCCTCTCCCTACACAGAGGCTGGACGCCCTGGTTGTTGCTCTGTGTTGAGTGTCTCTCCTTGTCCAGTTATGGTCTTGCCCTGCTGCACCCGCAGGGGTTTGAGGTAGCATTGGGTGCTCATATAGTGGCTGTTGTTGGGGAGGCCCTTCACACCCACAGGCAGTATGGCAGTGTCTACACAGCCAGATACTTAGCCTTGGGCGTTCTCTCCTGCCTGGGCTTTGTGGTCCTCAAACTGTGTGACCATCAACTCACACAGTGGCGGCCATTCCAGCACCTCACAGGCCACTTCTGGTCTAAAGTCTGTGATGTGTTCCAGTTCCATTTTGCATTTTTGTTTCTGACAAATTTAAACACTTGCCTAAGACCCTATCCCAAGGAGAAAATGGGTTGAAGTGTGGGAAGAAGCTGCTTAGCTGATGAGTCCCTACACTGAAAGAGACTCTAAGATGGCAGTCTTCTATCTGTGTTGGGTGCGATTGGTGTGACATATACGAGGAATCCAGAAGAGGCTGTCTCTCCCTTAGATTCATTTCAGGTATGTCAGTACAGAGGCAGATCACAGTCCTCTCTGCAACTTACTAGAAGACATGATGCAAAGCTTCTGGTACAAGGGATGTGGGTTCATCAGACTGGTCATGTAACTCTTCTGTAGTTTTAAGTATTTTAAAAATAAAACTTCAGGGGGAAATGACCCCAACTCTAGATTGGAGAGAGTATGTCTTCAGGGTGTCTGTTACAGTGCATCCAGAGGTGAAATGTGGCATAGTGGCATGCACCTGCAACCCTCAACTTGGGAGGTAGAGGTGGGAAGATCAGGAGGTCAAGCCATCCTAGGCTTCATGAGGCCCTGACTTAAGATAAACAACCCCAGGCTTGGTGACCCATACTTGTCATCTCAGCATTTGGGAAGCAGAGGCAGGATGATCATCACCAATTTGAGGCCACACAAGTCTACATAATGAGTTCCAGTACAGCATAGTGAGACTGATAAGAAGTTACTTAACTGCCAGAGACACCTGTGACTATCTACTCTGTCTTGGTATTCATTCTAAGATAGTACAGTCATATATGAGGAAGTACATGCAAATGTCAAAAGTTATATATATATATTTGTCTTTTGGTTTGGTTTGGTTTGGTGTGGTTGTTTTGTTCTTTCATTTTGTTTTTTTTCAAACAGAGTCTCACTTTGTAGCCCTGGCTGGCTTGGAACTCCCTATATAGACTAAGTTGGCCTCCAACTCACAGAGATTCACTTACCTCTGGCCTCTGCCTCTGCTAGGGATTAACCATACCCAGCAAAAGTTACATTCTTTTTTTTGAGACAGGATCTCCCTGTAGCCCCAGCTGGCCTGGTACTATGTATACTAGATTAGCCTTAAACTCAAAAGATCATCCTGCCTCTACTCCCCCGAGTGCTGGGATTAAAGACCTGCACCACTATGCCTGGCAAAGTGCCTTTTAAAATGTGTGTATATGTATGTGTACATGTGCCATGGCATGCATGGAGGTCATTCCAGTCCCAGGGATCAAACTCAGGTTGCCCACTGAGCCCTCTCACCAGCCCTGAAATGGGGACTTTTTTTGTTTCTTTGAAATAGTGTCTCATTATGTAGTATAGGCTGACTTCAGATTCACAGTCCTCCTGCCTCAGCTTCCTGAGTGCTGGAATTACAGATACGCATCACCATTCATGAGCTATACAGGGGACTTTTGAAGAAAGCTCATGTCATCTACTCATTTACTTCAGGATTGCTCCAATTCTAGACCCCAGGGGTCTGATGCCTATACCCTCCAATATTGAATAGGATCTTCCAGCTTAAGCATTTCTTATTCACTAGTAGAACACAGTGCTGGCACATCCTCCACAAATCAAATGGATAAGTGAACAGGTCAAAGGAAAAGTCAGTGACTAGAAGACACCATGTCCCTGATAAATGGCTTAGGAGTCTGGGCTGCCCAGAGGCACCTGCTTAGAGCCCCGAGGTCCTCTTGCCAGAGCCTTTTGGGCTGCCCTGTGACCATTGCTATGATCTCTTGAGATGCTTTTGGACCTGGGTACCTGCCGGTACCAGCCGGCCAAGATGGACTGTACCTGAAAGGGAGAGTGAGGATTGAAAGAAAAAATAAGAGACAGAGAAAAGATACTTGGGAGGACTGTCAGTAGAGACTGCAGCCCGGGTTTATTTTAGCTCCTCCTTTTTATACAGAAGAACATCAGAGACAGCCGCCGTTTGCTTAGCTCAATTAGTTTCAACAGCTGTTTTTCCACCTGTATCTGAGGGTCAAGGAGCAGTCAAATACTTGTGAACTCCGCCATATAAACACATTCCTTCTGACTTGGCAGATTAGGTACTAGTGTGCAAAACACAATCTCTAAGTAACAAACAAGCCTACCACAGCTCAATGTACATAATGGATTAATAGCTCCCAACAAGGTAGTGCCTGTCCTTGAAAGTGAGATGAGATTCTTGCAGGTAACAAAAAGATGGGTTTTGTTTCTTATTCCATTCAAC